GGAAGAGGAGCAGAAGAGTCGGATGATGAAGTTGAAGATTGAGGCTCTGAGCAGAGAGATAGCAGCTCTGTCAGATACAATCAGAGCTACAGAGGACGAGCTCAGAGCTGAAGACGTCTCATTCTTGAGGAACTACAAGGTTACAGTGGAAAGAGTCCAGCAGCGACGCCTGCCGTATGATCCACAGCTGGGCTCAGGAGCTCTGATAGACATGGCCAAATATCTGAGCAACCTGACCTTCAACATCTGGAAAAAAGATGAAGGAGAAGGTCTCCTACAGCCCTGTGATTCTGGATCCCAACACTATCCAGACCACATCCTGTCTGAGGATCTGACCAGCGTGAGACTTGGAGAGAGACAGAAGCTTCCTGTAAACCCAGAGAGGTTTAAGATCCACCACTGTGTCCTGAGCTCAGAGGGCTTTAACTCAGGGACTCACAGCTGGGATGCTGAAGTTGAAAGTGATCAACACTGGGCCCTCGGTGTGGCACAGGATTCAGTCCAGAGAAAGGGACAAATACTGACTGGATACTGGGAAATATGTCTCCTCAATGGCAAATACACAGCAGCCTCACCACCACTTCTAGATAAAGCTCTCTCAGTGAAGAATAAGCTCCAGAGGATCAGAGTTCATCTGGACTTTGACAGAGGAAAGTTGTCGTTCTATGATCTTGATACTAACACACACATTCACACCTTCAAACACACTTTCACTGACAGGATGTTCCCGTACATTGGCAATCACAATAAACTTCCACTGAAGATATTACCAGTGTCAGTCTCTGTGACAGTGGAACAGCTCACAGCACCTCTATCAAAAGGCCTATGGCCCAGTTTTTAAATTAGCTAAGCCTGCTATAAGTGATTATTTTCAGGTAAAGTAAGGCTAATGTCTTTAGGAATTAATAGAATGTTTGTGTGTCAGGGATATAAGAACCATGTCAGTGGGACTCTCTGAGACTTAGTTGTGTCAAAAAACTAATTTTCATTGATTTTGTCTTTTATTTCTTTATTTTTATGTCTAAGAAAATGGTGATGATGATACTTGGTGATTGGTGATTATGATAATGTTCTTCCTCACAATGACAGTAAGAGAATACAGATGTATCATGTACAGTATGTACATATTGCGAACATCACCCTGCTGATTAATTTGTCTGGCTCTGGGTATAAATCATTCTGAGGAATCGTTTTTTTGATCGCCAGTTCATAATTTCTATTAATTTGCTTTTGTAGTATTTGTTTAATTCTGCACTGTCAGTCATTGTGTCATTGTGTAAACAGAAACATTATTTTAGACTTTTAGGCTTAATTTTGAACTCATTATAAATTACTGTGCTTGGGGAAAGCAGATGAGTTCTTTTCAATGTTAACTGTACATTATTGATTGTTATCCACTGAAATACTTTTAAATATGATTCTAAATCTAATAAAGAAAATAATCTTAATGGTTTCAGATTAAAATGTTTCCAGAGATTTTGAACATGTGTTAAAACGCCATCATTTATAGTGAAATCTAGTGTCTCCATGAAGTATTACGACCACTGAAATCTTTATTGAAATCTTTCTTAAAGCAGTTTAAACATCTTGAGAATTAAGTCAGTTACAAAAACAAAAGTCTCAATGTTTTTGAAAAATAAGTCATAATATTTTGAAAATAAAGTAATGAAATTATGGGGGGAAATTACAATGTTTGGGGAAAGAAGGTTTTTTATAATTCAAGAATGGAAAAATGGAAGAAGAAAAAAAGTCATATTTCTGTTGTTTACATTTTGTTGCTTATACGAGAGCGGCTGTGTGTTTCCAGGCCATAAAGATCACATCTTTAGTTTTCTATAAGTAAATACTGCTGCTCATATTTAGTTTTAGGTTTTATCTCATATTTCTCTGATGATTGGATTCATTTATTTCCTCCTGAGTTATCAAATGTACTTCTGATTCTAATAAATTATTCTGAACTTATGAATTCTTACAAAGCACACAATATCTGGAGAGTACTAGTACTAAAACTAGCCATAAATTATTTAACCTAGTGTTTATTAACATTATAAACACTCTCTCATCTTCCCTCTTCTGTTGTCAGATGTCACTACTACATTATAAATCTTTCATCACACCTAATATGAATTCTATAAGAAGGCAAATGCTGATAATAAATATTAAACTTGTATTAAAGTAGCTACTTTTAATTTTGGCTAATGCTACATTGCTAACATTAGCATTAACAGCTGTTTACTTACCAGTGTAGAAAACGTTGCAGTTCAGCATCAAACGTCGTTCCTCCACTCATCAACAGCTGTGTCCAGTGGTCGAAAGCAACGCCAATGTGACTCTTGTCTATCTCCTTTTTTTTCTTGTCTCTCCATTTTCTCCTTCTTTCTGAAGTTAGCATGCTAATCAGCTAGTCCCGGTCATCTTCTCACTTTTTCGCTGTGCGTCACCAGCTGTCCCCGCTCTTACCGTCGCCTAGCAACCTTTACAACATGTAACTTTTCTTTCACAAAACTTGAGGTTTTAACAGTTGTACCGTTAGCGGTTGAACACAAAAATAAGTTCTGCGATAAACAAAAGTTTGTGATACTAACACATTTTGTTCAGCTCTGTAATTTTTTACAAATAAGCGCCACTTTTATGACTTCTGAAGCCTAAATACAATCGACGGACGTAAAAAGCTAATATTAGGCTATAAACGAACTACACCACAGTCATATGACTTAAATGTTACCAACACTAAGCTCTCAACTTCATATTTGATTTAACAGGCTTACCTCTATACAAAAGCCTTTCCTCTTACAAAGTTATTAATAGTTTGCAAAAGTGCGAGTATGACATTTATAGTCCCTGACAACCTCCGTAGTCTCTTTTAGCCACTTGTTAGCAACCGCCCTTTTTTTGGGGGACGTACTTAAAGAAATCACGACTGTATTATATGTTGTAAAATGAAATGGTGAAAATGTCTTCAGCTTGTGTTAACAACAGACCTTATTACAGCCATCTAACCAAAAACCCATTCAAAAAAACCCAGACTTCTGGGAACCGGAAGTGTTAAAATGCTAACTACTTGCTGGGTTTTAGGGCTCATTCCTGTGGCACTGTATGCAGATTGATTACACTGATGACATCACTATGACATCATTGTCTCCCCTCCTCCCAAGGTAAACAATATTTCAACTGCTTCTACAGGCTGAGCAGTAAACGGATCTTCATGTGTAAATATCAGTGAGTGACACTTCAACATCCAAAACAAAGAGACGAGACGAGATGTGAATGTGGTCAGTAGATTATATTACTCTCTTTAAAAAAGACTTCATTACAAGAATTGACTTCATTCATTCAGACACGGTTAAAGTCTTTACATCAGTATCCTACATACCGTTCATCACTAACTGCATAACCACCACAGAACCACTGCATCGTGTTCAGAGATCAGTGTTGAGTGTCTGGACTGACAGCTGATCTCACCTGCAGCAAGTAACTAACCCCTGTGCATCTGTGCTGGCAAAAACACGGACGCCTGTAGTGACGAGCTCCAGAAGAATTCAACTGTAAGGGTTCAACGGGTTACTTTACTCAAAGAGGTGTCTACTGATTTAACCTCATCTCTGTTGAACATTAAAAATGATTTGTTTTTACAGCAAGGATGGTGTGGTTAATACATCCTCTTCATTTGAGCGAGAGGACTGAAATCTCTTTCAATCACTCTTCCCTTTGTGTTTATTAATATAACTCATTCAAAATATGTTAAATTCAGCAACTTTAGTCCATCAGACAGTCTGATGGCCCAACACTTTGGTAAAGAGTGAGATATCTCAGCAACTACACAGGAAGGATTGACTCTGACTTCTCTTCATCTAGCATCACGAACAAAAGTTTTTAACACGTCCAACAATTCAGCTCATGACAGCATCCCACTAAAACTAAAGAGCAAATTCCCAACATCCTCAGCTTGAGATGAACACTAAAAACACCAAGAAACAAATGAAAAACATGTCAAAACAATATATGATTTTAAAGTATCTCCCGCTGCAGTCTTACTGTCTGACTCTCTGACTCTCATATGTGAACTCCATAAACTGCAGTTTGTTACATAAAACCTCGCTACATGTCACTTTTTACGGAGCAGTAAAGTTTGGCATTGAGTCGCAGTTTTTAATGGTAAAAAGGAAAGAACAGAAAAATGTGTGAAGTTTACCAAGGCAACAAGACAAAACTGACATGTACTTAACAACCGATTAAAGCTGCATTGATCAATATTGTTATATAAAAATGGATCAAATTACATTCATCAGGCCACATGACGCCAATTGGCTGATAAGTGTTTCTCTTCATCTGCTGGATGTGTAAAAGAAGAAGCTCTTTACTAAAACATTCACCATAAGCACTTTATATGGTGATAATATTCCAGATGTTGTGTTGGAGCTTGTTCTGCTGCGTGTGCAGCTTTAACTACAACCAATACTGCATTTTGTTTAACACATCAGATCAGAGATCTCAGTGTCATCAATCATGAATCCAGTCCCTGCTCCAGCAGAGAAACATGTAGGTGTAGTATGATCCTATCCTGATCACTGATACTCTGTAGCAGTCCAGGGCATGTAAATGCATAGTGAATCTAAACAGCAGTGTTCCTATCGCTCCCTAACCCCCTCCTCCCCAAATACACTCAGTATTATTCCCTCCACCAGCCCAGGTATACCAGCCACCCTACCTGGCTTTCTCTCAATTAAAGCAGTGTTCACATGACACATTCACCATCCACCACTTTCAGGACATTAGTGTTTGATGTCCCACCTGAAGCTGTGACACAAGTTTAAAAAGCCTGAGGGGCCAGGCTGCTTTCTGACAGATCACATGCTCATGCCATCGTTTCTGATTGATGGAAGTTGCAGCCAAGCAGGGCTAAAAACGAGTCCAAAGTAATTAAAAAAAGAAACAAAAAAGCCTTCTTTTGTTCATGTTTCTCTCCTCCTACTCCTTCCCTCTGCCCGTCTGTTCCCCCCCCCCCCCCTTCTCTCTGGCACAGTTTGGGTGTTGACTTGAGTTCGTATAAAAGGCGCTGAGCTTTTCTCCTCCACCCGATGCTACATGATGATCCGTGGCTCTGGTACCGACTCGTTGATGGATTTGTGAGGCAGGACGTTGGCACCGTTCAGGTAAAGCTCGTCATTCACGATCACATCCTCCCCCAGCACCGTCACATTCTCCATACGAACCTGATGACAGAGATTAACACAGACACGAGTCAACATCACACCTGACAACAATCATGGAGCAGGTGAACAACGTGTTACAGAAACACAACCTTTTGTCTCAGCTTCAGCTGCTCCAAAGATAAACTTCAACTTCAACACAAAGTAAAAGCTACAAGATTCTGCTCCATGAAATCAAATTCCCTCAATGAACTCCTCATGTTTGAGTCACATTTTTATTAAATTATGTATTTTTCTGCTGATTATAATGCAAGAAATCATGAATTGCAAGTTTAATCATTTATAATCAGAATCTACCGTAGATCTTGCTGGATTTAAATCCTCCGCAGTACTTTCACATCCAGACAGTGAAGGTCGGACTGCAGCAGTAAGTTAACAAGATTTTTTCTCCCCAAAGCCAGTGATAATTAATTTTTGTGTTTTAAGACTGAATAAATTCCACTTTCAGACAGACCATCTTCAATATTCAGAGGCGGCAACTGCCAGTCGTGATTAAACCCAAACATCTGTGTTTTCACTGTCAGTTTAAATGTGACGGCGGCGCTTTGAGAGCCGACAGCTGGTGACCTCTGTCCTCTACTCACCCACTGGCCAACAGAGGAGCTCCACCCCACGATGCAGCTCTCCAGCCAAGAGTGCGATCGAACCCGCGCTCCCTTCAGCACCGTGCATCGTTTTATCCTGACGCCATCCTCCACAACCACGCCGGCGCCGATGGTCACGTTTGGGCCGATGGTGCAGTTCTCTCCGATCTGAGCTGTCGGGTCCTGCAGAGGAAAGAAAGAGGGGAGAGAGGGTCATTATAGAACAGTTCTTTGTTTCAAAAGTGCTTTCATAGCGTTAACGAGCTGTACTCACCACCAGAACGTTGCCAAGGAAACCGGGCCCCGTGCGTAGCCGCTCAGGAGCGTGTTGTCGTACCGACTGAAGGTACATACACATCCCGGTCAGGAAGTCTTTAGGCTGACCGATGTCCATCCAGAAACCTGAAGACAGACGGACAGAGAAACAGGGAGACAGACAGGGAGACAGACAGAGATACAGAGTCAGAGCAGTTAGTTACCGTGGAAACAAGGATGCAAAACCAGGAATTTCGTTGTGATCTCCAACAGGTGAGGTACTGAAGAGCAAGGCTGCCTGGAAGTCGGACAATTTATCTTAAACCTCATGTGTCCTTTGGAAAATGCTGGGAAATAATGAAAAGTAAAAAATGTATGTGTATACTATGGTAAATCATTTTTTTAAATAAAAACTGAAATGCTGTCTAATGAAATGCTGGTTTAAAATGCTGACTACAGAATTGCAATGTCCCCGGTTCAAGTTTAGCTGTGTCATCCCGCATATCTCTTTCTCCCCTCATTTGCTGTGGCCTTCCTGATGTCCTCTGTCTAAGAAGAACAATCCCACAAAACCCAATTAAAAAACCCTGAAGATTACGAGCCCAAATTAAAAGCTAATCAAGGATTTCTCATGAGCCCAAATATCTCTTTCCCTACAGAGAAGTCGCTAAATCTGAAAATCAGTCAACACATCATGTAAACTTCTAAGAAGTTGTTGTAATTAATAGTTCAGTAAATCCTCTGCAAGAAATCACAAGGACCTTCAGTCATCCTCTCACAGATTAAAAAACAGGGAGCTGCTCAGTGTTTCATCGGCAACTTGTGAGGGAAGCAAAGCCACTACGCCCGGGACCAGAGTCAGCAGTGACTCAGACCGGTCCGCCTGCCTGGACTACAGGAGGAGAGGGAGGTTCAACTGCTCAGCTAGATGGTTCCACTGTTCCAGACAAAGCTGATCGCTCCCAGAGAGGGATGAGGATCTAGAGAAGCACCGATAACAGATTACTCCTACTGATTTGGATCATGATTGTTCTCATCTACAGTAATGTCTATCTGAACACAAGATTTTCCAGCTTGTTTCATGACATGTGGATTAAGACTAGCTGAAAAAACTGTCTGGAAACAGTCTCAGATACTTGTTGGTATCCGTGCTTCTCTATAAACGATTCCTCTCCAGAACTACATGAGCTCAGGTGTGAAGAAAAAGCCCAAACACTTACGTCTGGTAGAGCTGTGAGCTGCAGAGACCACAGCAGGCACACAGGTCAACTTCCCAAAATATATAACACATAAATCAGCCAGATGTATGTGTGGTGCCCACACAGAGGTCATGTCCTACATCAAGTTTTTGTCTCTGACAGATTCTTTCATTAGACTTTCAAAAATCTGGTGATGAAAATGGTTTTCATCCATCCATCCATCCATCAGCAGACTCTAGAAACTTTGTTGAGATGCGTAACCCATCGCAGTGAACATCAGGTCATGTGCTGAACAGTGCCAGACTAATACATGTGCCCTTACACCCCTGGTGCATTGTAGTGCTGTGTTGTGGTGCAGCAGCAGTAATAGTTACCCTGTAGCTCCATGGCGTACAGGTGTCCCTCCTCTGCCATGACAGGAAATATCTCTTTCTCTATGGACGTTGGTCTCAGCTGCGGCGCGCGCGCACACACACACACACACACACACACACACACACACACACAAAGTTGTAACAGCCATGTACAAAAAACGTTGTTTCTATATTATGTACAAATATTTACAGAAGGATGTGCACTTTTACAGTTAAAATCTCAGCAATTGTAACTTTAATTTAGAAGCATTTCGATGCAAAATTTAACAAGTCATATGATGACACACTTTTTTGAGGCTGTGTGTGAATGTGTGTGTCTCACCTGGATCCTGCTGAGCATGCTGGGATTGAAGATGTACATGCCGGCATTGATCTTGTTAGAGACGAACACCTGCGGTTTCTCAACGAAGCGATGGATCCTCCCGCCCTCCGCCTCAAACACCACCACACCGTATTTAGAGGGCTCCTCCACCCGAGTTACCTTCACACACACGTACAGCAGCCGTCAACAGTCAATCTTACATCAATATTAGTTTAACAGTTCATTTATTTATTCATGTTTTATTTTAATTGTCATAATTTTTCTGTGCATGTATATATTTATTTAATTTCCTTTCTCAAGCCAAAAGCCTGAACTCTCCATCCAAAAATCATCCAAAAGCCAAAAGCCATCAAAATCCCCAAAATCTGACTGGACCTCCTGCAGAAGTCGTCAGTCTGCATCTAAACAAATTTACTGTGTAAAAACACTGCGCCTGTCTGTCTCACCACGATGGTTCCCTCCTTGCCGTGGTTGCGGTGGAACTGCAGCAGATCTTTGAAGGGAAAATCACAGATGACGTCTGAATTCAGGACGAAGAACGGCTCGTTGTCCACATTCAGCAGCTCTCGAGCCAACGCCAGAGGACCCGCTGTGCAACAACACACACAGCTTAATGTCTCATTTTTATTAATCATATTTAAATTCCAGTCTAAATTCTGATGGATCTTAAACAACAATATAGCGCTGAAAAGATTACTCAATTGATCAGCCGATTAGCTGAGTGGTGAAGAGAAACACACCTGTTCCCAGAGGCTCCCTCTCATGAGACAGAGAGATACGAATCCCAAGCTGAGGAGAAAGCAGAGAAACATTCAGGATACTGCAGAGTGATATGGAGCACAATAATCATTTATTTCAAACTCAAAATAGTGCAAATATATACATATCATTTTCTGAACATTTTGCCCTGATGAAGAACCAACTGGGAGTAAAATATCAAAATACTGTCTTTTTGAATAAATGTTGGGACTTGCAGTCAGAATACAGGTTCATTTAAACATTTCTGAGTGTTGTGTATCACAGCTGTAATAGTGTGTCAGTGTGATGGTTTGTTGTACATACTCTCTGCTCCTGGACTCTCATCTCTCTCTCCAGCAGCTCTGACATGTAGCTCACCGCCAGAACAACATGGTCCACCCCAGCCTACACACACACACACACACAGTGAATTACCTTCATTAAAGAACAAAAGCACAAAATGACACATCAGCAGTACAGTTACATCCCCCCTGGGTGTCTCCTCCTTACTTTGACCAGTGCCTCCACCTGATGCAGCAGGATGGGTTTGTTGCAGAACTCCACCAGAGGTTTTGGGACGCTCAGGGTGAGCGGTCGCAACCGGGTCCCATACCCCCCCACCAGGATCAAAGCCTTCATGCTTCTAGCAAGTTAGCAACCGTTAACCAATGCGACCACAGCTCATCAATAACAAATCCAGACCCAGCCTGAACAGGAGAGAGGAGAGTCACAGTGACTGATGGCAGACTTTTCCAAAGCAATGAGGTAATAGCAATAATGATAATATTTTGTTTGTGTTTTAGAAAACAGGAAATGTGTCATTTCTAGCTACCATATTTTTCAATAGCAAATAAAAAGGGTCCATCACATATTAGATCACATCCTGGGCACATTAACACTGTAAATGGAACAATTAATTAACTATTAAAATAGTTGTCCATTATTTTTCTGTTGACCAACAAATTGTTTAAGACATTAGTCATTTGTCAGTAAGTACAGTCTTGTGTTTTAACATGCATGTGATTAAGTACATCTCATGTCAGGGAAGTTATAATAGCCTATTGACAATCCATTCACCTCATAATTTATAGCACATTTCTCTCTCATTTGGCTGCTTTAACAATAAAAAGTATTGCTATCTATATTGATATCGATCATACAGTATTACTTTGATCAAAACCAAACTTTGACCCCTCACCCCCGCTTTTCCCTTCTTCCCCTCTCCCTCATTTCTCTCCTCTTAATCCAACCGGTCGAGCCAGACAGCCGCCCATCCTGAGACTGATTTTGTTGGAGGTTTCTTCCTGGTAAGAGAGAGTTTTGCTTCTCCACTGTCGCCAAGTGCTGCTCATTGCGGGAACTGTGGGGTTTCTCTCTATAATGTTGTAAGGTTTTGACCTTAGCTGTAAAGTGCCTTTTAGATAATGTATGTTGTGATTTGGCGCAATAGAAATAAAACTGAATTGAACTGAGCTGAATTGAATTAGTCCTGGTGTCGCCTCAGATCACAAGAGCTCATTCATTCTTTAGTGAAGTCTGACTGTACATTCGTGTCAGTATGCTTGTTTTATATCTGTTACTGTGTAAAGTCCACAGGACAACAACACATAGAGGCGATAAAACGAGCACACACAGAAGGAGAGACTCAGATCTGAAACAGGTTCTAATTTCATCACACTAGCAGCTAACTTAGCCGTGTCACCAACACACTAACACAGAGCTTTCACTGCCATAAAACAGCAGCTATTTGAGTATGAACATCGGCATGTCTGAACATTTGAGAAATATCATGTGACTGAACTCATGTTTTGGTTTCTGACAAACGAATTTACAGTGATTGTAGCAAGCTCAGGCTAGCTAAGCTAGCTAACAAGCCTCTGACTTAATTCACAGCAGTTAACTATAAACCACCTGCTAACTACCGTCAGCATCCTGCCCGTGTCTGCACTGAAAGTTAATAAAAATGCTGAAAACTTACATGGATTTGTCCTCAAAAAAGTGTCCAGGAGGTTTCTGAATGACTGAAACTCTGAGAATGACACGTAAGATTGTTCAAACCCAAGCTCACGTCAAGACAGCGTGACAGATGCAACATCCGGTCCACTGTTCCAAAATAAAAGTTCAAGTGGTTAGTCGTTCAACTGCCTGTGAATGAAGTAAAAAAAGTCACCCGGTATACTATGATTTAAAATCTTTATTAGATGATTCAATTTTTTATTAAGATAATTTTTACAATTATTTATGTATACGTAATAGTTATATGTTGATATTTTTGTATGTATTTCACCTACTTGCTTATTAATATTAGTGAACATGTATGTATCTATTATATCATAAGTATAATCGCATTTGACACCTTTAAATAACATACCAAATGTTGTTTTTCACACCAAAACTTTATTCATTGAGTAGATTTTACATTTTTACTTGAACAGGGCTGTGAATCTTCAAACCTTCAGAGGTAAAAAAATCGTGCTTTTATTCTGAAAGCCAAATCACCCGGTTTCCGGTCTACCTCTCACTGTTAGTGACTTGGGGTTGTGTAAATCCACTGGAGCTTTAATCTAAAAATGAAAATGTTACAAAATTTTAAAAAAAACAAACAAATCTGATTGACGTTTCATTATTTTATTCTGATGAATAATAGACCAAAACGTTACGGCCGTCACATCTGTCCCGTAGCTTTTAACAAAACTTTCTCTGCGCCCCCAACATACGACACAGTGGTACGTTCCTAACACTCCTAACACTCCGGTCCCGCCTCCTCGTCACTTCTGACCAGTCAGAGAAAAACAGCGTGGCGACGAGAGGAGGATCCAAGTGCCTCCATTCACAGCATTTACATACTGAATGAAATAAATCACATTAGCCTGGAAGTAACGTGAGGATGCTTAAAAAAATATTGCCAAGAATCTAAACCTCTATTGTACACTGTAAACATTTGAATTAAAAAAAAAAAAAAGTTATTTTAAAACTATCACAGAATTCAGAGCTACTTAAATCTAATGACTTTGACAAAGTTTGACCTAATTTCTCATAATTAGGATTTAATTTTCACAATTTAAAATTCACAATTTTGACTTGCATTATATTATTGTTTTTGTAATTTATAACTTTACATCTGTTTTTTCCTCCCTGACAGGAATGGATTTCCATAGGATTATGGGATTATAAAATATGATTATGAGTGAATATTAATTCTCTGGAGAGGGATACTTTTAAATTGACCTAAATAAACATGGTGATCAGAAATTATAGCATCTTACCTAACAGTTACCACACCAGGGAGAAAGCCCCCTCCTCCTGTGCTGCCTTTTAATGTAGGTGAACATATCAGAATTGAAAACAAAGTACAAAAGAAGGAGATGACGACTCTGAGTCACGCATGGATGTTTTTGTAGAGTCCAATTTTATTAAAAATGTTACAGGACCACTGAGCAACTTGTTTGACCACAATAATAATAATAATAATAATGAATGCTTATCTCTTAACATTTATTTATTAACCATGACATTGGGTACTGAAGCCAAAAGGTTTCCATGTGGTCTAAAATGTTTGAAAATGTTAAATGGCTGTTTAAGACAGTGTGAAGAACCAGCAGGAGCCACATTACTTCAACTGGTGATATGAGCTCAGACTGACAATAATTATCAAACCATGCACTGCAACCCTGGAAGGGCAAAGTAATCACTGCTAAGAAAAAAAACAAGCTATCTGTAATTCATTACTTTTTTAAAGTAACAAACAGAACACTGAATATCAGTGATGAAAAATTATTGTTGTACATTAAGGACTGTAAATAATATGACATGAACTTAATCACAACATTTTAGTCGTACTTCTGTCTCACTGCGTTGTCCATGTGTCTGTTGAGTTTCACTGATCTCCAGTAAACCTGGAGGAACATGTTCCCATGCCAGGACTTCTTTCAAGTATAAAGAAATCTAAAGTCAGAATGTAGTTGTGTAAGTTCTCCAACTTCTTTTGTCCAGGTGGTTGGAGGTCGGAGGTCGGAGGTCAGAGGTCAGGGGCTCCAGCGCAGGTCACAGACCAGGGCGATGTGGTCGGAGGGGTGGGCCACGCTGGGCAGAGCCTCGTAGGTGGTGACCTCCTGGTGGCTGGGCAGAGGAATCACCTGCTCCACCTACACACACACACACATTAGCTTTCTGTCAGGCTGGTTAATCATATAACGATGAGGAGATTGTAACTTTCCTAAAAAAATATATTTTTTAAATAATTGCACCCGACTGAAGAATTAGTGCCACTAACTGTTTATCTTAATGAACTCCTAATATTCACGTAACACCAGTGGATGTAAATAAAAATTTGAAAAACATCTGCCTGCTGTCAGTATTAGTACCTGCATGATGTCGGGCTGTATGAAGATGTAGTCCAGGCAGCCATGAAATCCTCCCACATAGTTAGTGTAGGCCGGCTGGCTGCAGGCGCTCAGCAGTGGGGGGAAGGTAGAGGGCAGCTCCATACTGCAGGACTCCTCTGGCCCGGAGCTGCTCCAGTCTGCATGCTGCTGAGGAACCGCAGCCTCACTGACCAGCTGGAACACACCTGAGGCAGGAGGAGGAGATAAACGAAGAGGACTCGCACCGCTAGAATGATAACACGCATCATGACAATATTGTTTCTATTGGCCGAGCACACCTTTAGGTGTGGAGTTACCTGAACTAGGGGAGGAGTTGAAGTCGCCACAAAAGATCAGAGGAGCTCCAGGTGCGACCTCGCTGATCACATGACTCAGGTGTTGCAGAGCCACGCCCATCTGGACCAAGCGAACGTTCCCTCCTTCAAAAGGAAATGAAGTCAGTTTTTAGACACTGTTCTTGTGTAAATTAAGGTTACAGATCATCGTGAATAAGGTGTGTTCACACAGAGGAATGAGCATTTTACCTTTTGGGTGCCAGTACAGGTGAGTGTTGGCCACACAGACCTTCCTGTCTGGTTTATTCAGGTCCTCCAGAATAGTGACCTGCAGAAAAATGAGTGATTCGTCAAGGTGACTAAAGCTGAGGGTTCACAACTCGGGGTCAACAAGTATTTTAATGAATCAATCAAACTGATGGTTTTAAATGCTGTTGGAAATATTTTGCTCAGTTGTTTTGCCGGTTTAAACCACCAGACTGTCGATGTTGCATGTTTTAACCCGGGAACCACAAACTGCCCATTAGTTATTAAAAAAAGAAAAATCACCAAATTTTACATTATTTTTAAAGTACAATTTTAAGTGCTTGAATATGTTTTCTGTAAATTTGTATTTCCCCACATTTTTGTTATTGACATTACAAAATCCTCTCTACATTTCATGGAATATAATTCTGATGGGCGAAACTGAAATCCCTGAGTTCAACTAGAATCACAAAATTTTAAAAACACTTTGTGTAGAAAATACTTTCATCAGCTTTGAAAAACCTGTGTGATCAATTGTCATGTCATGAAACCTCCCAAATTCCCAGATACATTACAGAGAACATGACAACAGCATCTTCAATGGTATCTATGACTCTGTTTGCGTGTTTAGTGAGAATGAAGATCTTCTTGTACAGACTCAAACCTTGCTCGAGATACACAGTCCGACAGCAGCGGTAATGTGAAGTATGTGATTTGTACTTTAAACAGCTCTGATATTTGGGTGTCTGTAGAGTGAATGTTCAAGATATTTACATTTAGCTAGAGGCACAAAACCACAAGGACCACAAGACAAGTCCTCCACAATATTCTCAGAAGAACTGCGGTACCTGCAGCGCGGTGGATCTCTGCAGTATCTTGTCCTTGAGGGCGCTGTTAGCAGAGACCCTCTCCAGCAGCTCAGAGTGGATGGGGTCAGAGGTCAACGCCTCGCTCAGCACGATGTCATGACGGCTCAGCAGCCGGAACTTTGACCTACAAACACAACATGATGTTGATTTTAAATGATCTGATTTAATCCCAATTTACAATCATGACTGGATGGTGAGCAAAAGCTAAAATAAGTGACTGACAACAATGACGTAACAAATCCCACCACAAGGGAAATACACTTACGCTCCAAAGTTTCCCATTTAAAGAAAAGATCTAAACACCATCAGTGAACTGAGCCTGAGGGCAGCAAGGCCCAGTCAGCTGTTCAGTGCTGTTAAAAATGTTCATTTTAAAGTGACAGCAGCATTTTACACCTGCAGACCTGACCTGCGGTAGAAAGTGGTCAGTCCTTCATGCTGCTTCTCTTTGACCTTGAAAACTCCGTCCAGACCGAAGGCATCCAGAGCTGGAGTCAGACTGTCCACAAACACCCCTGAAGAGTCCAGAGAACATGATAAGAAGCCATTACCATGAACCATCAGAATTTGTTTAGCATTTGTTTGATGAATTACTTAAGAAAGTTAACTGATTATTGAAATTGTTGTAGATTAAATTTCTATCAGTTATCTTTTGTTTCAGCACTCATTACCTTTGTCGACCTCCTGCAGACAGATAATGTCAGCGTTGTATCCGGCCAGCTCCTTCTTGATCAGGTTCTGTCTGTAGTCCAGCTGCAGGGCGTAGGGGGCGCAGTACGGGTAAAGCACCGTCTTGGACAGTTCTGTCTGGGCGTAGACATCAGCGAGGATGTTGTACGACACCACCCTCGCAACCGGCCACTCCGCCTCTTTGATAGTGTACGCGTGCCGGTTGTCAAACGTGCACACGCCTGGTCCAGCCTCCACGGCTCCCACAGAGACCAGCTCCTTGGTCAGGCCGCTGCGACTTCCATCTTTGGGCGTGCAGCAGAGTTTGAGCCTGCAGCCGATGTCCTGATTGGACGGGACGTGGACTCTCCCGCATCCTACCTGAGTCCAACCTGGATCCTGACCTGGAACTTCCTCGGCAGCTTCAGGCCTGGGAGAGGAAGAACAGGAAAGAGAAAAATTAGGAAAAAAGTGCTTATAGCCTGACTATGTGATGAAAAAAATTCCTATAATGGCGTATCAGCTGACAAAACAGGTCATGTGAACAGATATTTTGATAAGGACGCCAGAAGTTATTCAACTTATCTTGAATAACTTTAATAACTTGAACAAAAACATGTACTGAGCAGGACATTTCACAGTGTGAACATAAACTTCTCATTGCTTTCTTGTGGAGACCTCAAATGTATCTTTGGCATTTATGTACTTCTTTCCGTGTTACAGTGTTTTAAACTGTTTTTTACACTCTCATTGTTAATAGAGTCCAGATTTGACAAATCTAACTATAGTGGTTTCTGGACCTGACCTGGGGAAAACACAGTTAAAGGGGTTTAACCAGGACTTCTAAAAGCCTTTCACAACAAAGACTGGATCAAAATACTAGCTGCTCAGTATTACCATTTAAGTTTCTCTTCATTTTCCCTTTCCACTTCTACCGCCACTGCAGACAGACACTGATATAAGAGGGCAGTAAGCTTCACACAGGCAGGATTTATTGCATTAAACTACACGAACTCTGCGTCGTTTACACTGTCGGTAACACCTGCCTTTACCTTGTGTTTGGAGCTGTCTCTTTGTACCAAATGAGCTCGCAGTCTTGAAGGCTCCCGAACTCCACCTCCAGTTTGGGACAGACGGGGAACCCGGCCAGCAGGGACACCGGCAGCTCTGCTGTGGTGAAGGTGGGCACGTTTCTATGCACCGAGAATTTCACGTCTCCCACCTGCAGCACGGCTCCGTCCCGCCACGCCTCGGAGTTCAGCACCGTGCCGGGCACCTCGTCCCCGTCGTAGTACAGCTTCACCGCGGCGGGCTCCGGGGCCTCACACGGCTGCTGCCCCCTGTGCTTCTTCGACTTCTTCGCCTTTCCTTGACCCTTGGCGGCGTTGTTGGAGATCCGGGTCAGGACCTTACCCAGCGGCTCGTCCTGGTCCCGCAGCATGTGCTTGTGACTGCCCTCCAGAGAGAAGGAGATGGTGAGTTTGGGGTCCCCGGGGAGACACCTTACCACAGCCGGCTCCATCCTGCCGAGCAGGCGGCAGGCTCGGGTCAGAGTTCTTGGTGAGGAGACGAGCAGGCGGCGGGGGAGCAGCGTGAGAGCAGCGGTGAGGTGGTTCAACATGAAGGCCCCCGCTGCAGGTGGAGAAGAAATATTGTTTTTGAATACTGAGTATTTCTAATTCTCTGAAGAATTACAGACCCAATGTGAACCAGGGGTTTCAGAGTCCTTTGCCATATATACAATCAGGTAAACAAAGGAGCAGCAGATTCTGATCTCATGACAAGGTTGATTCAATCGGTTACATCCAGGTGTTTATACCTAAGTACATTACAGTAAGTAAATTAGGCCTTCTGCAGTTCAGTGTAGCTTTAATGTTAACCCTCAGTTGATTGTCACACAGATAATCACATCACCAATCAATACATTGATTACTAAGTCTAAAATGAACGGTCAACGGCAGACAGAGAGCTCACCTGGTGGCGGAACTGTCCTAAAGCTACACAGGTTAGCCAGATGCTAACAGGGAGATAAAACCATGAAAACCGCGAGTTTAATTTAACTTCCGGCGGTTTGGTTAAAAGCTAAACAACACACCGGCTTCAGGAATTAAAACCTCAGCTTTAAACAACGTGACGTATTTGATGTTTATAAAAGTTTGCGCATGAGCTGTCAGCACTTTCCCGAGGTCAGCATGAGCAGCAGCAGCTTCTTCGGCTTCTTTTTCTTCTTCTTCTTCTTGATGTTGTATGGTGGTTGTCAAATAGCGAAATGGTGCATCACCGCCACCAACTGGTGTGGAGTGTGAACTGTCATATTGAATAAATCAAAAATTGAATGAATAAATCAGTGAATAAACAATAAAATCAATAAAATTGCAACAACAATAAAATAATAATAATGCATAAAAAAGGTTATAATGATAATTGAAATAAATAAATGGTATCATATCGTGCCCTGCCTTGTGTCTTAGCTTACTGGTTCAGCTGTCTCTATGGAAGTTTGTAGCTACAAATATTAAAAAAAAATATTTTGACCAAACATAAATTTCACTTTTTATTTGTGTGACACGATGACAAGCCAGAGTGGCAAACTGCTAGTCACCTACAAAAGATGCATTTTTTTTATTAATGTTTTTTATTCAATTTATTATAAAGACAAATACAGAAATTCACTAACAGGCAAATTACAAAACACTATAAATATATGTTTTAAAAAAATTAAATCCTGAGCCGAAGTACCATCACAACTGTGTCAGCATCAAATCATCCATGCCTCCCCGTGAAGTATATGTGTTAACAGTCTTTACTTATATTTCTGGTTACACTACAGAATATTTTTCTCTACGACACTTTCCATACAACAATGTTCAGGCTGTTCGGGGGTTTGGGGGAAATAGATGTCGCCCTTGTGTTCGTCATCGTGCTCAATGTGTTTCAGGTGGATGACCATGTGCAGGGCGTAGGCCAAGACCAGCAGCAGGATGAGGGAAGTGATGAGGCCCATCAGGATGGCCGGAGTCAAGAAGGTGGCGCAGTCGCTCGGAGGAGAGAACTTACCAGAGGTGACATTGAACGCCTGAATCTGAGAGAGGGCAGAGACATTTTTAAAGTAATTAAGATGATAAAATTTATAAGGTGATGGTTCAAAGTCATTCATTCTTACACGAATTAAAGAAATCCTTTCTGGAGTCAAGGAGCAAAGGGAAAGCATAAAAGTTAAAATTCCAAGAGAGGAATAGTTTTGTTTTTTGAAGGCCAAGGGCCAAGGCAATTATTGATGTTTTGAAGTCATGTCTGTTCTGTAAATAATCATTTTCATGCAGGAAAAAATCTAAAATTATCCAAGCAATATACAGTGCTCTGCCTTTTGGCTAAGGAAAAAAAAGTGGTTACAATTGCTAATTCACCTCAATGATGATGAAAGATTTTCCAGACATGAAATGATGAAATTATATATGACCTTTTAAATCCGAGTCAGTCCTTGTGTCAGCTGGTTAACAGACAGGTACCTGGAAGTCGGTGAAGGTGACAGCCCAGCGGCGGGCGTGGTCGGTGCTGGGCAGCAGCAGGGCGCTGTAGCGCTGCAGGTTGCTGACGTGGAGGCAGTGGTAGGAGGAGGAGGCTGGAGCGTACACCTCACTGGCATTGAACACGGCCTCTTCAGACGTGTTGTACAGCAGAGAGACGCTGTCCACCGAGAACCACCACTGACCTGACGACTCGTAGAAAGTGTTGGACAGTTGCAGTCTGACACCAGGGGGGCGAGAGGAGGCAGTCAGTCATTTTTCAACTATCCTGCAGTTTCTATTAGCAACTATTAGTAGCAACTATTGCAGTATCCTGCCATTTTGTTCAGGACGGCTGTGGGCTTTTTCTCCTTAAAGGCACCCTGTGGAGTTTCTGACCTCCAGCAGCGCTCTGGAGTTTCACACTATTCCAACAGATCAACATGTGGCAGTGACACACCAACAAACACAACACTGCGCCAAACAAAAGCAAGCGTGAAGAAGACTGCTACCTCCCCGGAAATGTATGTAGCAGACAAATTGGCAAACGAAGTAATAAAAAAAGAGATTGTTGAAATAATATTATACAGTTAAAAGGAAGGAAAAGAAAGGAGGAAATAAATGAAGAGTGGCAACAGTACTGGGATAATGCAACAAAGAAATGACATGTACGCGCAATCCAAGATAAAGTAGGGAAGGTAAGAGGCAGGGGAACAGGCAGGAAGAAGAAGTAAGAATAAGTAAACTTGGAACTGGACACATCAACCATTTTCCATGAGAGGAAACCGTCAAACAGGTAATTGTGATCAGGGTGATGAATGACAGACAGTGGAGCATTGTAGTGATCACACAGTTACAGAAAACAGGGGGAACACAGGCCAGTGTAATAAACTGAGTGGAGAAAGTTTAAAGGGAAAACAGATATTTGTTTTGTTTTTTAAGAGCAGCTGCACTAATCACAAGGCCAGAAATAAATAGACTTTGAGGAAGACTAAAAGAGAGGAAAATCATTTTGAAAGTGTTTAATGAGGAAGGAAGTGCACGCAGCGATCGTGTTAGACCTCAAGGAAACACAACATGTGCTAGTGACTCTGAATATGAACATAACTTTTGATTACAAGAAAACTCCACAGGGCACCACTGAAATTAAATGTTCGGAAAAAAAAATTCAAATAGATCCACAACCGCCCATTTAATCACATCTTTGGTTTGTTTAACATTTATACTTGGTATATTTTATACGACTGGCAGACAGGTGGTATGACTAACCTGATGGAGAGGCCTGTCAGATCCTCCACATCTCCAAACCTCATGACCAGCCTTCACAAGACACACACACACACACAGACAGGCAGACAGACAGGTGGTCAAACTTGTTTTTGTTACCCTGTGGACTCAACGTAAAGACCTGCTGTTGGACTTGAACGTCCACATGCTTCCTTGGAGACACAGAATCTCTTTGGTCTTATTTTACTGGATATCCTCCAGCGGTCTTGTTATAATAAATTGCACCATAATCCTGACAGGAGTACGTACGTGGCCTTGTCCTGGCGGCAGACGGACTGGCTGGTGTCGACAGGTTTCTGAGGAGAAAACGCTCGCTCTGTCAGGTCCAGCTGCTTCTGCTTCTCGTAGCGCAGAGACAGTTTCCTGGCCTGGAACATGACGCACGGCTCCCCGTTGGACAACACCTGGTGGGTAGATTCAAGGTGCTTGAACTTTACTTGAGTATTTTCATTTTATGTCACTTTATTCTTCTACTCCACTATGTCTCAGAGGCCAATAGTGTACATTTGTCTGACAGCTTTTATTACCTATTACTATTTTTCATATCCTCCCTATGCAGTTGAGCCCATGTATCTCCAACCTTTTTCTAATAAGCTGAAGGTTTAGATCTCCCTTTATAGGCTGAGACAAGTCTCCTACTTCTTAAGGTAAATTAACTGTTTAAACCTGAGGTTATCATCTTTATTTATAAGCAGGTCATTGATGTGTGATGTGAAAGGTGTTTTTTCTCTCTCTAATGTGTTACAGATAGCTGGTTAATCCTCTGGAGGTTACGCCACCTTGAGGGGAGGGAAGGGCACTGCAGCTCCTGGCATCTGAAGCAACTTCCTCCGGGACACATCTGGAGACTGGAGAGGAGGATGGAGACAGTGAGAAAGAAAGAAACTTTGCTGTTTCATCTGTAAATGTGATAAATTCAACAGCTTACATATTGTGTGTGTGTTTTATTTTAAAGCATTTTATTATATATAATAATTAAACATGAATATTGATGAGAAACTCCTGACTGATTATCCAATATTTTACTGATTGATAGCTTTTGTTTTCTTATATATTTTATTTGTATATGAACATTAACACCTGTATCACTGATGCAACGTAACCCTAACCCTCATACCACGTCATTCCTTCCTCCATTCCTTCTTTGGTATCTTTCCTGATGCACTTCACTCCTCTTTTCTTTTCTTCCTCCCCTTTCATTCCTGTTTCTCAGCTGATGAAAATCCCCAGATCGTCCAGCAGTGAAGCTAAAAGCTCTGTGACAATACTTGCGCTTGAATAGAAGACCTTAGTTTACCTGCAGCATTCGTCTGAACGGTCGGTCTGCAAGCACCAAACTGTCCTCCATCTGCATCCCTGTCTCTGGAGAGACGGCAGCACTGTGGACAGAAATAACACAAGAATCAAGAAAAAAAAACTGATAGTAAATAATGTTCGTCACCATTCCTTTTGCCCATTTGTCATCATTTTCATTTATTTGATTATCTTCTTTATTTTGCTTTAATTCTTTAAGGATTTTTCAATATTTCCAGACAATCACATATTTGATAAATGATCATATCATGTTGTAATAAGATATCTCAAAAATATGATGTTGTTTTCGCCTCTCCCCTCATTTTTAGCTTCTTTTCCTTGCTTCTTTTTATTTTACAGTTGTACAGTTCTCCTTTAGTTAATGGCTTTGTTTTATTCATTATTAGTCTCTATTCTACTTTGTACTTTTTATTTTCATCCGTTGTAAAAAAAAAATACTGCAGGTATTAGTAGTCCTCAAAAAATACTTATTATTGCACAATCAAAATCTAATTCTGACTCATTATTATTAACATGTTGACACAGCTAAGAACTACTGATAGTTACAAATAAATGAAAATAATAGAAAGTGATAAAGAAAAGATTATCTGACATAATGACATATGTTAAATTACCATAATGAAAAAAAAACTATGAAGGTTAGAAATAGAGGACATGATTGTGTCAGGTTCTGCGTACCCAGAATGCACCTGGGCTGTCCACTGACCCAGCCATTCACCCTGTGGATTAGTATTTAAGGTAACAGACAGTCTGGCGCAGAGATGTTCTACTGCTGAGAGGACCCACTCTGACCCAGATTACACACAGAGAAAATGAAATAAGTGTAGGAGAAAAATAACAATGGACTAAGATTTCACATTGGAATCAGCTTAACAGCAAACAGCAGCTCTGATCACGTTTTACAGAAACATGCAGCACATTCAGGTTTTAGATAAAGAATCCTGAGCCTGTGCCAATCAGAGGGTCGAACGAGGCGACGACAAGGACAGAGGTTTAATACATCCTGCAGAACTGTCTGTGGTTAAAGCCCCTGACAACTTGCAAATTCAGGTGTTTTATATAACATCAGCTTTTAAAGACTTAATAAGAAACCATAAACGTTGAAGAAAAAATATATATATCCTTTACTGTTTATCTAAAAGTTTAACGCTCAAAGCTAATCTGCTTGTTTGTGTTTGGTTTGATCAGTTTTGATTAACAGTGGCCCGGCAACATTAAATGTGATTAAAGTCTTGCAGGTCAACTCCGGATTTTGTTGTCTATGAGCTCCAGAACAAAATCCACAAAGAGGACTAAAAGATCATCGACCGGGTCAATGGACAGACAGAGAGAGGAAACACCATCTTTGAGCAAGGTTGACCCTCTACACAACCACCTGCTGTCCCACCTGTTAACAACTAAACCATCATCATGATAACTGAGCAACTCCATCTGCTGAGGAAGGCCAGCAGATGTGGTTGAAAGCTTCTGCGACAACAAATGAGTTGTACCTGGTGCATGGTCGTATGTGACCTCACTTTTTTTTTTTTTTTTTTTACAGCTGAGCCACTTCAAACAAATGAGAAAAGATACAGAAATAATCCAAACAGATTTAACTTTGGCACAGAGTCGTGTGTTTGTGTTCGACCCTTCAACTGTGTAGTTAGAAGTTTTCAGACTGGACGGCAATCTGTAAAACACACAGACACACAGAGGTTGTAATTATTTCATGATGTCTTTTTATGTCTTACTATTCCACTAATCTGCAGGTGGTGGCAACGCGCCCAGAAATGAAGCCCCTAGTCATGTCTACATCTGTTTTGGAGTATATAATTAAAAGATTAGTTTATATAGGTGAGACCTCACTACAGTCAAGATGAAACGGACATCTAATGTTAAAAGTCTAATGTTAAAACTTCCAAACTACCTCACATCTCTTCTCGCATTTAAATCCAGTATCCTCAGAAAACGATCCAGTAACGACCTAACCCTCCACATCCCTCATGTTCGCACCATTTAAATGGAACAAACTGCAAACTGCCCTCAAACTAGACTCTTACATTTCCCTTGGATATTTTAAATCTTTATTATCTGATGTATTTGATGACTATTGTAAATGTTTGTGTTAATTCTTTGTTTCTTGGTTTCTTGTATCGTGCAGTTCTGTTGTTTTTGTTGTTGATCGTCTCTTGTGACTGCTTCTGGTTTTCAGGTCTCTCTCTTGGAAAATAGATTTTAATCTCAATGGGACTGCCGGATTAAATGTATGTCAACGGCATGTCAATGGGATGTCAGCCATTATACACCATTGTTTACAAGACAAAATCTGAAAGATTAGACAAAAACAATAGGGAGTAGGGAGGAGCAGTGTAAAATGTCCGACCATTAACAATCTGATTTATATGAGCCCAGTGCATCTCACCTCTGTCAAAGGATTATCAGGGTGAAATACCTCTGAGTGCATGTAGAATAAAACGTGTTGCACATACTGAATGCATTATTATCGCTTAGAATAACAGGCACAGAGTTGCCAAATCCACCCGGACTCACTGACTCTCTGCAGCCCTACAAAAAAAGGTTTAGCCCCTCTTGTGTGCTGGGTCAGAGCAGAGGACTGTGGATTGAGGGATTGCACTGATTGCATAATCATACAATCATTAGAGCGCGCGCACACACACACACACACACACACACACTTCTCATGAAGGATGGGGTGGCTCTCGGCCAAAAGGAGATTTTGTAGCGTCTCCTTCTTTAACCATGAGAAGCTGCACACTGTAAAAAATCAAACACCACCAACAGCTGCAACATCAATCAGACACAGAGCAGCATCATCATCTCATTGGAGTTTCGTTTGTGTTAACGCTTTCGTCGGACAAGAACACTGATACTGAAAGATTCTGCAAAACCTCAGAGTACGTTTCATGACTATATTTTTTGCTTCTGTCCAGTTTCATCGCTTTCAACAAGATCTGCACATGCTAACTATTTAACGTTGGGAAAAGATGGCGGTTATGGTTGATAAAAAGTGCAAAGGGACGCATGACTCCTGCATGAGATTCAGACGTCCTACACCTCCCTCCACCACCTTAACCCTCCACACCCATATTTTCTGCCCCTCTACATGAGGAAACACAATTTCCCGCATTGACATTGAACATTGGCAGTGGAAAGAAATCGTGAGGTGCAGAATCATCAATAATGGACATCACTGGGAATACTGGAACACTGGCTTATGTCCATCTGATTAAATTCAATTCACTCTCCTTTCAGCTCTTGGCAGTGACAAGCCCACAGCAGCTCTACCAAGGTTTTTACGCTGATTTAGCTCCTAGTTTTGGCTTATTGATGCTGCATGTACTCCATGGTTCAGTCTCAGCGCTCTGTGATATAAAACAGAAAAAGAGAAAATCCTCACAGTGGAGGAAGAACAAGCAAATGTTTGGATTTTTTTGCTTGAAAAATGAGTCAAACATCAGAATATCAGAATAGTTACCAGTTCATTTTCCTGTATATCAACTAATCGATTAATCGTTCCAGCTCTAGTTGAGTTTTCAGCTTGTTCGAATGCCCCCAAAAAATAAAAAACTCCACAGTCAGTGGAAACACATCGGTAATCTCTGAGCTGAATGTGTCAAGAGTCAAAGATTAGAGAGTCACGAGAGGTCAAAAACAACACAGACAACAATCAGCAAGGTAAAACTGTCTCATCTCAGCCTCTGCTCCTGCGTCTCCACACCTACCTGCCAGCAGGTTGTTGGTCGAGGCAGGTAGAGGACTGCAGATGTAGAAGGAGGAGAGAGAGGAGGAGGATGCAGCAGCAGCAGCATTTCCAAGGTGAAGCCATCGCTGTGGTGACCACAGAGTGATGCCAGCACACACTCTGTCCCACTCTCCCCCTCGTAATCTACTTTAATCAGCCCCACCGTCTCTAAGCCCCCTTGACAGACTCAAGATGCATCCAATCATAGAGAGACAGGGACAGGCAGGGTGGAGAGAGACCCGCCCACTGGTTACAGACATTTGCTGTTACCACATTTTCTCATTTTCAGGTCAGCTCAGTCAAAATTCATTTCATTTCAGCAGATTAGAGATGATGATTAGACTCACGGAGCATTTCAGTATTTCAGATATATCTGTTAAATTTCTCCAACATTTACCAGTAGTACAGAATAATGAAAGTGTTCATCTATATACAGTACATATATATATATTACCACTTTACAATAAGACCACCCTCATAAATAATTTATTAATAGTTCATAACTAGTTTATTAATTAGCATACTAACACTTTATAAATCATTTATAAGCTGTTATAACACATTAGATAAAGAGGCCAACAGTGAGCTGTGAACATTTATCTGTACTGTTAAGCCTCATACCTCATTAGTTACTGAGTTTTCTTTGTTTTCTCCATCATCCAGCATTTTTACCTGTCTGCCTCATCACATGTTGGTTAAGTTACAAGCAATTAAGTCAGCATCTTAATGGTCAAAACTTTCATTTGGCATGAAACTGAACTCGATGAACAACAGGCCACAGAAACCCATCATCAAGTACATAGAGTTGCAGCACCAGTTAGGTCTAATACAACATATGAGGCTGCTCCTAGTGACCTTTATTGAATTAAGTGTACTGGGGTTAGGGACAAACTACAGAAACTGGGGAGTACATTCATTCAGATCATCATGAAGGGACGTCTGCTCATGTACTGATGATCTTTCTTTAGAAACTAAGTTTAATGAGTTGAATGAACTCTCAGAAGTTCACTCATTCAGCTCATTAAAGTTTTCAAGTCAGAAGAGCATGTGTTTATAAGCTTTGACGTGGTCTGAAAATAAAAGCTACACATTACACCAAACTCCTAAAACTAATAAAACTTAAATATTTACATTAATTCAATGAGAAAAGATTAGTTGATTCCACATAAATCATACCAACTATGTAATTCTGACACTTCAGACTTCAAAGTGCAATTTTATACACATAGCCTTACTATGTTTTTTATTTATATATTACAGCATAAGTATTTTTATTTTTGTCAATTATATTTTATGATTTTTTTTTATCTCTATCTTTTTATTTTTACTTTTGTATTCTACTTCCTATCATCCTTTCTTTGCCGAGGGAGTTAGGGGAATTGATGTTTTTATTGAAAATCTATTTGATACAAGAAGTGTGATCATTTCAGTCAGGCATCTTGTGTAGCCACGCCCGGCCGGGGTCCTCAGACTCGACATCACCGCGGTGCACCCTGGATCCTTCCTTTCGATCCCAGGCTCGCTTGTGAAAACATGGGTACGTCTCAAACTTCATCAAAAATACTGCATTACTCTGCTTATTCTACCGAGACTTCATATCGGTGCTGTACATGAATATCTTATGAATTTCTTTCGATGTGTTTGTGCCGGTAAAAACCCAGTGTGAGTTTGAAAACTGGTCGTTTTTACGGCTCTGCTTCGCCACAACGTGGAGCGGCCATAACACGTCCGAGAGGCAGGCGGCGAGTTAGCACGGTTAGCTTAGCATAGAATACCTTCTTATTACTTTTTAAAACTGCTGTCGTTCATATTATGGTATCTAACTAAACAACTGGGCAGCCAAACCCCATAATTCCTCATATTATCTGTATAAATATTCAGATTGTGAATGTTAATGAGCGTAGTTAGCCTCATGTTAGCGGTTAGTAACAATTAGCTGCGTTTCATAGAAGCTGCAGGCTTTTGAGAAAATTCCGCATTAAAACGCGCAGATGACATTTATGTGAGTCTATAAGGTCATGTTTTTTCAGTATAGATGAACACTAAGTAACAATGATTTATCTGGGCTGTAAAAGTTGAATTAAGTCCAACTCTGAACCAAACTGGACTCTCTGACAGACTGTCACCGTGTCCAAACGGTCTTTCTCCAGTTAATGCCTTTTAGTATTATTTTATTTAACCATTTTTTTTCATTCTATAATCGGTGTGAAAATAGGATAGTCTCTAGCCTTGTCAGTGATGACAGTGGAGCTGTTCATGTTGCAGTAGTAAGAAAACATTTCATTGTGGATATATTTCTAAGACAGTGCAATATGTTAAATGTCCTCTGGGTCTCTGTTACTGGAGTGAAATACACTCCTTGATGTAGAAAATGTATCTTGCAGAAAGCTGCTTTTTGGAAGTGTAAACCTTTTTATCTAAATCTTTGCATCTTAAAAGAGAGTATCCCGGTAAGGGGAGATGTCAGTTTCTGTTCTCAGCTCTGATTTAATTGCTGGTGGTGTTTTGTTCTTTTTTTTTCCTCCAGGAAAGTGCCGTGGTCTGCGTACAGCCAGGAAGCTCCGTAATCACCGCCGTGAGCAGAAATGGCATGATAAACAGTACAAGAAGGCCCATCTGGGCACTGCCCTTAAGGCTAACCCCTTTGGAGGAGCCTCTCACGCCAAGGGCATCGTGCTTGAGAAAGTGTGAGTACTGTATGACCTGCTGAACTGTAGACAACTGAAGGTGAAGCGATGGAACAACTTGTAGGGTTTATTTACAGGACAGATCTTTGTGAAACTTTAATATCTGCCCCTGACATTTCAACTGTCTTATAGTTCGGTTTAAGTTTGTTGAAGAGCTTGTGTGTTTTCCCTCTGCAGGGGTGTTGAGGCTAAGCAGCCCAACTCTGCCATCAGGAAATGTGTGAGAGTCCAGCTCATCAAGAACGGCAAGAAGATCACCGCCTTCGTCCCCAACGACGGTTGCCTCAACTTCATCGAGGTAAACGCCAAAGCTGCATACACCTTTTTTAGAATAACAGCTGAACAAGCAGCCGTGGTGCAACCAGTGACATTGTTGTGAAGACCTTGTAGCAGAAACATCAAGCTAGAATAAGTCGAACTAAGTGTGGTGGAACTTCAAACTAGTTCCTGATAAAATTGGGTCAGATGTCTTATTTTTATTTTATGATGGTTATGTCCTTTTTAGATTCAAATCAGCCAGAGAAAAAAACGAATGCTTTCTAAACAAAATTTCACAGCTTGCACAGACGTATAGGTGCAGCCAAGTGTCTGCAGGTCTTGAAATGTCAAGTTTCAGCAAACTTGATCTGCAGTTGAGTTTTTCCAGAATCTGTGTATTGAGACTGAAATCATGCAATATAGATACCTGTGATATTTTATTTGCTCTCAAAAAGTCCTAAATATGAATAATAGCTTTGAATTATACAAGACACACAAGGTTGTTAGTTCTGCTTGTTAGTTGACATTTGTCATAGATTTGTTCCCTACCTGTTCTCTTCCTCTGACCACCTCTCTCTTCTGTCTGCCTCCCGTCCTGCAGGAGAACGATGAGGTGCTGGTGGCAGGATTTGGACGTAAAGGTCACGCCGTGGGTGATATTCCCGGAGTTCGTTTCAAGGTGGTCAAGGTGGCCAACGTGTCCCTGCTGGCTCTCTACAAAGGCAAGAAGGAGAGACCCAGGTCATAAACAGTTGAGGCAGAAAATAAAATAAACGTGTTTTCAATTACAGTCTGGTTGTTGCGTGTTCTCATTGATTCGTTTGCCACACACGTGTTCCTGGAAGCTGTTCTGATTTCCTCTCTTTAAGGAGAACGGGACCTTTTTTTTTTCCTTTTCTTAAAGCATGAAATGTATGTAAATTCTTAAAGTCTGCAAATATGTTTTTGTGCAAGTAGGAAAAAGCACCCTGTCAACTGACATCTTATTCAGTACATTTGTAATCTATCAAGCCAGAGTTAAGGACTTTGTGTATCAACAGATTTCCAAAATTACATTAAACTAATGCAGGTGTTTTGTTATTTGGGTTAGAATCTGCAGGAAAGTTTCCTGCATTTCCTGCAAGTCATTCAAAATTGCTTATATTTAATGTACGACAGTGTTTGTGTAGCACCACAGGGTGCAGGCCTGGTGTTCAGTGTCATGCCGAGGGACACTGCTGTGTGTAGTCTGCTGTTTGTACTGTGTTTAAAGGTGATGGGCTACACACACACACTGCAGAGGTTTGTAGGTCAGGGGTGGGGGCAGTGGGTCAACGGGCCCAAAACTGAATTTTTGCCCCCAAACAACTTAAACTGCTCATGGTCCATCCTGCAGAGTCACACCCACTGTCTGCTGATCAGTTCATTGCATAAACTTAGCTGGGGGTGATAAATATAGTAACAGGTGTCAGATCCCCCGTGACACTGCAGCCAGAGCCCTGTAGCTACTCAGCTGAAACAAAGATCTGCAGCTCACATGAACCTGCACTATTTTACTGCAGGATTATTTCTGCTCTCTAATGACACTTCCAACCAGACGAGTTAATCTAGTGAGTAAATCAGGCAGCGACTGCTGTTTAAACAATGGAAGGGTATTTGTTGATGTAACCTACGAAGGCATAAGGCTCTGGTTTCAGTCACAGGTCAGAGATCTCCCTACCTCCTGCCTTCACCAGCAACAACAACAACAGATCCTCTTTTAATCTTCAGAGACTTCACAACTGAGCAGAAGGACCCAAAACCACAAGGTAATAAAATCTAGTGACGTCTGTCGGCACAAAAACTGACATCACATGTTGAAATGTCCTGTTTGTTACTTATCAGTTTACCACAGATATATACGGTATATATGTTTTGTAGTGATTGCTAATTGCAACTACAGTTTGTATAAGATTAGCAAAGGTTGAGGAAAGTCAACATCGACTGCTGGTCGGATACAGAACATGAGATCCAGCCTCGTGTCAGGTCACTTTTTACTGCACTACATGAATGTCACTCAGCTTCCTGGTGCTGAATGTTCGGTCTGGGTCTGTTTTACATGGTTCCTTAGTTCCAGTGAAGGGAAATCTTACTGCTATGGCACACAATGATATTTTAGCAATATTTCATCCACTTACTTAAACACTGACCTGCTGCTCAAACACAAGTTCAGTGAAATATTAAAATACAACTCTTCCTTCTCTTTGAACAGGGCCTGGGTCCTCTCTGTGGACAACATGGAGTTTCAGCGATTGCGATTGGAGGAGGAGGATGACGAAGACGATGCAGCCATTCAGTACATGATTGAACAGAGTCTGCTGGAGAGCAACAAGCAGAAGGAAACTCACAGAGACGCCACAACACGAGGCGGCAGGAGGTCAAAGGAACCAGGATTCAAACATTTTTCTCAGCTGCTCAGTTTGTCTTGTTTTAAAAGGACAAAGTTCTGCTCGTTCCTTTACTGTCCTCCGTCACATCAAGCCTCCAGATTTATTCTCATCAGAAGTATCTGCAGTATTTACTTCATCTTAATTTTTTATTGAAGCACATATTCTCCAAATAATTATGTGTAGATATGAGTTTCTACAAATTAACTGCCGTTTAAAGTCTCACATTAGGAGCCCTGGAAATGACAAAAACACCAAAAGATCAGATTAAGTCAAAAGTAGAAGTGAATATATTAATAAATAATATTGTTAGTTAAATAATTAAAATTATGGTTTAAAAAGAAATATAAAGCTTTATACTTTTCCTTTAATTGTTAGAAAAGAGAAAAGCTTTTTTTTGGTTTTACTTTGTTTTCACTAAATTTGTTCATCTTTTTGTTTTACTCGTTCTCTTCCTATAATTAGAGGTGAAGTATATGTTTTATTTTATCAACTGATTGGTAGCAAATAAAAAAAGAAAAAGCTTTTCACTGTTCCAGCAACTGTTTGGCTCTTAAAAGGAAATGTATTAAGTTTAACATTTCACCTTTTACACTCCGTTTTAAGTGTTTAACCAACACTGTCATTTATTCATGTAGTCGGTTGTGTTTTCACTTCTTGTTTTAACTGTCTTTGTCTTTTGTTTTGTCTTTGGTGGAAATCTTCGTCAGTTCAGGACCTTTCCAGTTCAGCTTCACAGAGTTTTGTTATATTTTGTTTTGTTTTGTTTCACTTTGCTCTTTTTCCCCCTCACAGCTCTGAGCTCGACTGCACAGACAGCAGCCTGATCTTCACTGCTATAAGACAAGGTGAGGAAGAACAAAAGGCCTTTAACACGATCAATGCTCCTGTGGTGATTCATCTCATCCAAATGAATGATGATGTCGCTGCGTTACTGCCGGATGTGTAAATAACCGTTGACCATATCAGATGTTCTGTGAGTTTCTGCTGCCCCCATGTGGCCAGTTGCAGGTTCAATCATCACACTTATCTAACAGGTTTCATAGCTGATCTCTCACTGGTTTGTGTGCACTGTCATCCAGAAACATCTTTTTTACCTGGCAACGAAAGCAGGACAAGTGAGCAGACATTTACATCTGATTCTTGAGTCTCCACTTTGACTGCATGACTGAGACCAGCTGAAGTTAGAGAAGCTCCAACAAATCCAGCAGAAGCAATACAGCGTGACCAGATAAGGGATGAAAATCAGTGGCAGCACGACGCTACTCCAAACACTCCGCCCTGCAAACAGCTGTTTGTGTTTTTATTTAGGGAGGGGTGTTGCTCAGATCAGAGTCAACGTGATGCTGACTTGTACTTCAGGGGTGGGGAATAATAGAACTGAGAGCAGAATCAAAAATGGAGTATAATCAAGTGACTTCACTCACTGTATAAGTTAAGATTTAGTGTTATTTTACTCTTGTTTCTTTAGCTGTTAAACAATCCCTCTGTCCATCCCTCCAGGGAATGAGAAGCTCTTGAAGGATCTGTGTGTCAAACACAAAGATAAGTTTCTGCAGACAGACAGCAGAGGTTGGATTCCTCTCCATGAAGCAGCAGCTCAGAGCAACCACGCCGTCCTGGAGCTCACATTCACAGGTTTGTATCTGCTTTACAATAACAAAATAACCCCTCATCGATCAAACAGACATGATGAATGATACGTCACGTATCCTGTTCTCCAGCTTCAGGCCCGGACTCTGTGGAGTGTCAGACCCTCCGTGGGCAGACTCCTCTCTTCCTGGCAGTAGAACACGGTCTGATAGAAAACGCCTCCTTCCTCCTCAAACATGGATCCCAGCCGGACAGTCAGGACCACGACCAGGACTCACCACTGCTTGTAGGTAGGCTGACCAACATTTCACTACCTCAAAACCTCACAACTTCAAAACTTCAAAACTTCAAAACTTCAAAACTCGTGTGGCCAAGGAAGCGGTTTCCCTGTTGTTTCACATTTACCAATTTTCTAGTTTTTTCTGCTTTCTAAACTTTTTTTTCTTTTAAACAAAGAACATCACAAAATACACTAACCATCCCTAACATATAGTAGCTCAGTCATCAGCTCTAAATCATCTATCACCTGTCTGACTCCGTCCCTCTGCAGCGATCCGCTCAGACCGTGCTGACCTGGCGGAGCTGCTGCTCCTGCAGGGCTCCAGGGTGAACCAGGAGGTCTGCCACGGACGCTGTCCCCTGCACGAGGCCTCACGTCTGGGCAAAGCGTCACTGGTGAACCTGCTGCTGAAGGCCGGAGCCCGGACAGACCCGCGCAGCCACTACGGCCTCACGCCGCTGGCCCTGGCAGCTCAGAGTGGACACCTGGAGGTGGTGCAGACTCTGCTGGAGAGAGGTGAGAGAGCAGGGGTGTCTCTACAGTATTACCCTCTGCAGATTGTTTACTAAACTGGAAGATTAGAGTTTGGGTTGATAATAGTTAAGGTTAGGGACTGTATGAAAAGATCAGTCAGAGGTTCTTCAGCTGAAAAAGAAATGAGCCGAGCAAATACCACATTAATATGAAAGTGATTATTGGGCTTCCAAATTAATGGTAGAGCAATACAGATAATTAGAAATGCCACTTAAAAATTGCATTTAGTTTTCATCAATCTTCATGATACAGGAATAGTGTATGGCCTTTACTGCCTCTTTTTGATTGATGTTCAGTTCTAGCATCTTTTAAAGAAAATATTGACTCTAAATAAAAACACAGATCATTCCAACAATACCTCAAATCATCCAGAGGAGTGTGCAGCCCTGAACAGCACCTTCAGTCCTCAGCTGCCTTCAGAGTGCTCTGGGCAGAATGGCAAAAAGCAGGCGGGACAGGAAGTAGCATTAGTAGGGTTGTAAACATAAACTGCAAACATCGTTAAATATTGATGAACTCGACATGATGTTAAATGTTTGTACACAGCACTGACGTCTGCTCTGCAGGTGCAGACGTCCTGTCCGAGGCGCAGGATGAGGCGTCCATCCTGTACGAGGCGTCTGCATCCGGGGATCCGGCTGTCATCAGTCTGCTGCTGGAGTACGGCGCCGACGCCAACATCGCCAAACGCTCAGGACACATGCCGATCCACCGCGTCGCACACAGAGGACACCTGCAGTAAACATATTCTTTTCAATCAAACTTTATTTGTATTGCACCTTCCCAACAGATTAGAGCAATTCAAAGTGTTTCACAGATGACAAGCTGAGGATGAGACAGTACAAATGTAAATAGTCAAACAATTAAGAGACTGATGCACAAAAACATGGTTGAAAAAGTGGAAATAAAACCAATAAAAAAATATTTTTCAAATAATAATTTAGTAATAAATAAATGAAATTACATGAAATCAGAGGGAATAAAAAGTTTTGAAACATGAAAACAATAGATAAGATGATGAAGTAAAATAAATAATGGCAGTAGAGAAAATGAATGAGACGAAGTCCAGAGACTAGTAGGAAAGTACCAGAACCTAAAAGGTTCTGCACCAGCCATTCACCAGGTAGGGACTGTCTAATTAAAAGGTGCTGTTCAGTTGCATTATGGGAACTCTAGGATCCACTGTGTTCTTGGAGTGCCCCACCTTTATGGATCAATGGAGTACATTGTTAATAATAGTATTTGAGTGAATGTTTTCTGTAATCCTGTCACCCACATTTAACTTACCAAGTATATCCAACATCATGTGTGTGTGTGTGCGTGTGTGTGTGTGTGTGTGTGTGTGCGTGCGTGCGTGTTCTTCAGAGCTTTAAACCTGCTGATTCCAGTAACTTCAATAAGAGATGTAAACGACACTGGGATGAGTCCTCTACACTCTGCTGCTGCAGGAGGACACACACACTGCATCAAGGTGTGTGTGTGTCTGTGTGTGTGTGTGTGTGTGTGTGTGTGTGTGTTACAGTAACAACATGTCATCGTGACTGAAAGCAGGCTTGAACTTCTCTCTGTAGATCTCTTTTTTCATTCTCTACACGGTTCTTTCTGACATTTCAATATGACTCCCTGACTCCCATCAGGCCTTGCTGAATGCTGGTTATGACCCCAACTACATGCTCCACCCCTGGGTTCGGCGTAGCTATGACGACGAGAGGAAGTCGGCTCTCTTCTTTGCTGTCTCCAATAACGATGTGCCGTCAGCCACGCTGCTGCTGGAGGCTGGAGCCATGGCCAACCAAGACCCAGTCAAATGTCTGCAGGTACCTGTGTGTGTGTGTGTGTGTGTGTGTGTGTGTGTGTGTGTGTGTGTGTGTGTGTGTGTGTGTGTGTGTGTGTGTGTGTGTGTGTGTTACATGACTAAAAGCAGGCTCTCTCAGCACACAGAGCTGAACCAGAAGATCTAGCTGTATAACATTTTCTATAAACGGTCACTTCCTTGACGTAAGTGTCTCTGGCTGAACAACAGTTCCTGGTCTGACGGGAGTTGTGTGCTGGAACTGTTTCTTTTTGAACAACAGCCAGGTTCAGGGACTGTGCAGCTTCCTGAGGTCTTGTTGTCACAGTGAGGTTGCCAGGTTTTGTTCCAAAACTCAAAAAACACCTGCAGGAGAGAGCCTGTTGCTGATCCACTGTCTGTGTCTTAAAGGTTGCACTGCGTCTGGGCAACTATGAGTTGATCGACCTGCTGCTGAGGTTTGGAGCCAACGTCAACTATTACTGCAGAGTGAACACAACACACTTCCCCTCAGCGCTGCAGTACGCTCTCAAAGACGAGGTGAACTGCTGGTGTTGGTTATTATTGCTAAAAGCATTCTGGGGTTACAAACCTACTTATATTTAATCTGGCCTGTTGGCCTGTGTGTGTGTGTGTGTGTGTGATAGCTGGTTCTAAGGATGCTGTGTAACTATGGTTACGACGTGGCGCGCTGCTTCGACTGTCCCTACGGCAACAACTCCCATGTCCCTGGAGACTACGAGGGATGGACGAACAGTGTCATCAAAGACACTATGGTAATTTATTTTTATCAGGGAGGGGGTCACACTGTGGGGGCCGCAGGGGGCAAAAACTCACTGCCTTGTGTCAACTTGACTTAACTTAACTCTGTACCTGTGTGTCAGTGCAGTTCTGTGAGGTGATCACCGTGTCCTGGCTGAAGCACCTCTCCGGTCACGTGGTTCGCATCCTGCTGGACTACGCGGATCATGTGACCCTCTGCTCTAAGCTGAAGGCGGCTGTGATGGAGCAGCGACAGTGGCCCGACATCTGTAGGCTGCAAGGTGAATTCAAACTTTATTGACCCCTGCCCCTGATGACAAAAAACACAGAACAAAACCAGTGATCTTCATGAACTGTCCTTCTTCTACGTTTCCTCCTCCTCTTCAGAAAACACTCGCTGTCTGCAGCATCTCTGCCGACTGAGGATCCGTCGCTGTCTCGGTCGCCTTCGTCTCCGTTCGCCCACCTTCATGAGCTTCCTGCCGTTGCCGGGGCGACTGAAGGACTACGTCCTGTACCGGGAGTACGACCTGTACGGGCGGCAGAGCAGCACGCCCGGCTGACGCAGGAGAAACTCACAGAAAGTAGTTCCGTTTGAACATTTAGAAATATCTGCAAATACTCCACAACCACACGTTGAAGTCACTGTTTCACTTTCTGAACTCATTTTCCACATCATACACCTATTTAACAGTAAGAGCCAAAAAAAGAGTTTTTATTTTATTTTTATTGTTTTTTTTCTATCTTTCCCTCTCTGAAGAACAGTGTATTCTTATTATTCTTATTTTGTATGGTTTTCTATATTTTGATGAAGCATAAAACAAACAGTGTCTGAAAGTAAAATACAGATCAGAAGATAAAACCAACTGTGAATCAAACACTTAGTCTATTTTAATACTAGGTTAGAAAACAAAAAGTAAAAATAAAATGATTCCAACAACATATAATCGTCTCAAATTTGTTTCAGATCATTCTGCCAGCTTTTTGATTAGTATTTGTATTTCATTATTAATTTTGACAAAACAAATGTGCACCAAAGTTCAGATGAGGTTTGTAGGATTTATTGTTTTGGGACAATGAATGCTGGCAACTCATCTATACTGAACAAAAATATAAATGCAACACTTTCTTTATTACTCCTATTTTCATGAGTTGAAATAAAAGATCTAAGACTTTTTCTAAGCAAACAAAAGATGCGCGCGCGCGCACGCACGCACACACACACATTACAAAGGAGATGTACGTGTTGCACTGCATGAGGCAGATGGTGGTCACAGCAGAGAGGCCTACTGACTGACTGAAAATGCACATCTGTAGCCCAAGTCATGTGAAATCGACACTTCAGTGCCTAATAAATGTCTTTTTTCAAATTAAAACTGTATCGTGACCAGCCCGAGGCACACCTGTGCAGTAATTATGCTCTGTAATCAGCATCTTTATATAACACACCTGTCAGGTGGATGGATTATCTTAAAGTAGAAATGCTCACTAACACGGATTTAATCACATCTTCTGAAGTCTTTTGTGCTTAGAAAATAATTTTACATCTTAAATTTCAACTCATGGAACCAAAAGTGATGCAATTGTTTTTTTTCTTCATCTTAAGTAAATTTAAGGAATTTAAGCCTGCGGCCTCGTTCCTATGGCCGGATCACAGCCGTGCTGATATTCAGATTCACGACCTGGAGTGTGATATTGCTTTTACACAACAGTTCTACGAGCGCCATTTTAGTTAAATAAACCACAGGTTGGTCCTTGCATGAAGTAAAATTCTTCTGCTCTTCCTCACGTTGTGTAATGAAAAAATGCCAGCTTAGGGGGTATTGCCTAATTTCGCTGAATTGAATTGCACGTCTTTATTTAATGGGACAATAACACACGCAAAGCGCTAACAGCGTTGAGGCAGCATCGGCTAATGAAGAACGAGCACAAGTAGGACAACGGAATCAGACGATCCCCCATAAACTGGTATTTTTCATTAGACAAGGTGACGAACTGCAGAAGAATTATACTTCAATACACGGAACCAGTTTATGATTGGTTTGTTTATTTTATCGTTTGTTTGACTACGCCAACACACACTTCCGCAACTGGACTGGTACTGGACTGTTGCTAAGTAACACAAAAACATTTTCCTGACCTGCACAGTGCACACTAGCTTGCTACTTTGTCCTGTTGCTCAGGAGTGCGCCGAAGTATCCAGGCTTCTTCCCTTCATCCTCTTCTGACGACCACACATTTAATTAAAATTTAATTAAAATTATTATCAATTGTTTCTGGAAGTATAATCACCTTTACGGTGCAACGTTTGTTACGATCTAAGACAGATAACGACCGTTAATGTAACGCTAATTAACGGTTAAAAGAACACCTGTGAGGCGGAGTGATACATGTAGTTAAAAGTCCCAGTGCTGCTCCTCTCCTCCAATCATATTACTGACCAAGTAATTCAAATATATATATGTATGTATGTGTGTGTGTGTGTGTGGGAAATAGCATTCACTCATTTTCCCATGTTCACTCTTGGATTCACCTGATGATTTACAACTCTTCAGATAAACTCTCATTCTTGCATGACCTGCATGTCTCTGCCTCCTCGACATGTGAAGAAACTTTAAAATCAGGGTGAAGCTGGAAATAAATTTAGATTTAACTTTAAGATAAGCAGGCTGAACGACACTGCCACTGCAGGAGTGTGTGTGTGTGTGTGTGTGTGTCAGATGATCATGTATGAATGGAGACGAAAACATTTCCACAGAGAACAAACTGACTCCTGATGAAATGAGTCAGGCTGCACTGAAATCACAGATAATCAAGATTTACCTTGATGCCTCACACACTCATGTGGCAGACTGCTGCTGAGGTGCATCCAGGCTGTTGGCATCCTATGATTGGGACAAATTGTGTCCTTGTGGTTTAAGAAGTTGACGACTAACCTCAGAGTCCAGCCTCCGGACCTCTGTTGAATGTCATTCCCTTCTTTCTCTGCACTTCATGTTGCTGGAGAACATCTTACTGATATGTGAACCAGGATTGGCTGTCTGGCTCAAACTGATTATTAAAATGGTTTCAGATGCATTTTCTTTCAATCAACTAATCGACTAATTGTTGCAGCTCGACTTGGGATGGGAATTTCCTTTATTGTTAGTGACATTCAAAGACATTTATGTAACCGACTTCAGGTGAGCCAGTGTGGGTGGAGTGTAAAAATGTAGCACAGTTTTTGTTTTTTTTTGCAGTGTAACAAACAAACCTGAAGGGAAATGTGTATAATTCATTATCAGTCTCATTTTTCTCAAGGTTCTTTGGACGTGATGAAAATACAAAGAGGGCTGTGACTTTAAGGTCCTGGTTCAGTTGCTGCAGCTCCTCACTTCCTGTAAAGAGTTTTCCCTCACGGATCACCCTGAACACTGTTGGTACTGAATGATGTGAGCAGATCTCTGCAGCCACTAATGCTCAAGTTCTGTTTATATGATGATTTCAGGGACTTTGATGTCGGGGGTCTTCACCTGCTGGTCAGGAATTACAACACGAGCCCAAAAGCTTCTGGAAAGATTTAATCTCACTTACTTTCACTGTTCTAACAAACAGTCAGGATGATGTCAGATGCAGAAAATGCTGCTAAATAACTCTGATCAATCATTGAGGCTAATATCCATGAATAAATATCACGATCTGAGAGGACACGTGGACCGTCGCTGCTTTAGACTCTGTGAGGACTGTAACAAGACTGTTTGACGCTGTGCTGCAAACTGACTCAAACAGGAGGACGTGAACGTGCATGCAGTTCTTTACCAACTCCTTAAATGTGGAAGTGAAACAAACCAAAGACTAAAGATGGCGTCTACATCTGCTCTAACACACACACACGTTCAGAAGAGCTTCCCACCAGAGCGACAACTCCACAGCAGGCAGAGGTGTTGGGCTCAGTGAGCTGACTCAAGTCTGGATTCACTGCTGTCGATACCCGGTCAGGATCAGACTGGAGCCGAGTCAGCAGCAAATAAAACAGACTTGAGTTAGCTCAAATAATACTGCTTATAATCCTGACATTTCACACACTGTGTCTCTGATGCACTTAATTTCTTTACATTTTATACATTTAGGGGGAAGAGACATGTAAAAGACAAAACATTTACCCGCACATGTGGGTAAAGGTACAATAAAAAAATAAATTATCACCTCGATAAACCAAAAATAAAATATTCATATTTGCTCTCTTATTCCTGGGGTAGAGTTCCTGTTGTTGTCCAGCAGGGGGCGGTGCAGCGTCACGGCCGGCCTCCGGAGCTCCTTGAACTGTGATTGGCTGACACTGTCTAATCGGTCCGACCAGATGAGATAAAACGGTGACATCCTCAGTACAGACACCACGGCCGATTCTGCTGACACTTACAGGATAATGATTTGTATTATATATATATATTTATATATATATATTGTTTTGACACATTTGAGGTAGGGCTGGGTGATACTTAATTATTATTTGTCAAATTTCTGTTATCCAACCATATCACCCAGCCCCAATGTAAAGAATAAGGCTGGTACTACTCTATACTTTTGTTTCTGTCAACAAATCCCATGAAAAGACCAAAACCAACAACGTTAGATCATCTCTAAAACCTTCTCTACCCTGTGTGAACCAATTATACACAAATATACTGTTGACAAAACAATCGCAGCACAAAGTCTATGAAGTAGCTGTTTCTGGAGATTTTGATTATATCACATGATCCATTATTTCCATTTTTCTGAGCCCTTTCAGGACGTCTTGTATCTTGGCTTAAAAATTGAGATTGAAAATTCATTCTTGACATTGGAAACAGCAAGTTGAAGAAAAAGAAAATTACCATAAAGTCATATTAGCAGCTAATCTGGAGCTTTGGATCTTTAAAAGTCAAAAAGTCTTCAAAGTGTTTAAAAAAAATGGAAACTTGAACATCTACAATCCTATGACAACTGAGCAACGCCAGCAGCTGAGGCAGAGTGAAAGCTCAGGAACAGCTGCTAAATGGACGTTTTGAGACGTTTTTGGTGACTGCGGACAAGCTGCCGATTCCAAGGTCAAGTGTGAACTTTCAGGGGAGCTCAGGGGTTAAAGTGTCCACCATGAACCGCAATGTCCAATCAGCTATCAAATAAAGGGATAAAATACCCCCAAAATAATCATATATGTCAAAAGAATTTCACAGATATTGTTTCATATTTTTTTTTAAAATACTGAGTAATTTCCCAAAGCAACTGCTCACCATCGTTGTCAGCAAACATTGCTCAAACATGAGGAAATAGTGCATTTGTTGGGGACTATTTTCCACGGCGGATGAATCCACATTTGGTGCTCTGAAGAGTATCTCCAGCAGCAGGACAGTGTGTGTGGGACTGAGTCAAAACTAACTAGAGTGTGTGTGTTCATAGTAACGAAGGAACACGTGATCCAGTGCAACAGTGTGTCTCACTGATGGAGCTCTATGGCACAAAGGAATAAGACGTATCAGTGTCAGGCTTTTATACACTCACACTCACACACACTCACTATACCCGCTGTTCAGATGGATTCATTGTTGCTTTTGGTGTTTATCTGGGATTTGTTGACAAGATGAAAAATACAGAATATCACTAGACCAGATTTGGGAAACTGACACTTCCAATATTACACAGAGGATGATTTTTACAGGACACCAACTACTAACGTTTTTGAATTAAGCCCCAAAAACGGACATATAGCTTTTTTTTTTTTTTAAAAATGACCTATATTCTCTCCTTAAAGCCTACGTCTATGATGCAAATTTCTGTTGCACTTTATTATTGTTCTCTCTGTGGGCGACGCTGCCCTCTGCACTGCCGAAGAAAAAAGTCGCCGTCTATCATCTCCATCTATTGCTTTCACAGATGCTTGGATGTGTTTCTGAGTGCGTTTTCAAGGTAACGCTGACAGAGTCTGTTCTCCTGTCCAGGTTTGGTTTCTGTAGAGAAAGGGGAGTGAGGAGGAGTGGCGTGTGGGGGATCGGGGGCGAAGGGGGGAGTCGGAGGGTGAGTAATGTGAGTGTGGGCCAACTTCAGTGGGCGGTCCCTGGGATTCAGCTGATTGGTCGTCCAGAGAGGACGCTTTGTTCCACAGACAACTGTTCCCAGGATGTGTGTGTGTGTGTGTGTGCTGTTGTCTGTCTATCTTTGTGAGGACCAATTTGTTTGACCTTCACTGTGCAGAATGATGTATGTGCAGAGTTGGACACTAGACGGCTTCTTTCACATTCATCTGCTGAAGAGGAAAATTTAATGATCCCCTAGAGACACGTTTTAAGACGCATAAAAACACTCACGCCGTGTCTGGTTTGGTTTTTCTACAAAAAACGGAAGTTAAAATTTTTTAAATGATTTTCTCCCTCATTGAAAAAAATCAATAATCTGTGAATATGCAAATATTTTTCATTACAAAAGTTTAACTGCTGTACACAAGATGCCTCCTACTTCACTGAAAAGTCCATTCTCAGTGTTTGTGAGCTGGAGGCTTCAGGTTTCCACATCGCACTAGTTTCAGTTACACATTGGACCATGACTGACTTTCAAACTAGTTGTGATGTTACAAAATCATGTTCCTGCGCACACGTGTTAAACTCAGATTAAAACTGAACACAGAGAAACTTTCCTCTAAATGAATGTGAAAATAGTGTGTAAAACTCAAACATCATTCTGCACAGTGAAACATTCAAGTGAAGAACAGGAAGTAAGTAAAGCCTGATTCAGACTGGATTTATTTCTCTAGGAGAGGTGGGGTGATTTTAACCCCCCCCCCCTCTAGATGGATGAATGAATGGAAGCTGTAAATGTAAATCTTCAATGTCAGATATGTCAACTGTATTCAATATTATCTCTTCTACTCTCCACTATAAATACATCAGATATTAGCGTCAGTAACGTTTGTTTTGTCGGTTGCTTCCTTTAGCTACACAACCCTTACACCTAGCGGTCACTGTAAATAATTAGAAACAACCGATCTCTTCTTGAGAACTAAGAGCAGCCTGTTTTTAATGTATTCATGTGCAAAACTCCCCTTACGGAAGATTTCAGTTAGAACGAGGTTAAGTTTGAAAGAATTAACAACTAGTGCAACCAGCTCCTGGAGAGGCAGTCAGGTAGGTACTGGTATTTTTCTTCAGGCTTATCCTGCACAATCCTCCCTCCCTGTCAATTACAACTGTATCCTGTCAGTTTGTGATAATTAAAATGACTTCCACAACGATGAGTTCGATTACAGAGGAGCACAGCCTCCTCCTGCCACGTTAATCCTGTCTGAATGGGGCTGAAGACATATTTTCGGGAGGAGTGGGACCACAAGGTCAGAATCGAGCTCAGGTTCAGTCTGAGGTTAGTACTGAGGTTGGGCAGTTAGTTCTGATGGTTAGAGGCCGGGGACTGCATTATGTCACCGAGGGTCCTCACAAGTATAGACGTACAACCAGTGTGTGTGTTGTGCAGAGGTTTTCCATTTCAGCTCCACTGTCCCACCTCCTGCCTGTTGCTATAGTAACTACTCGACTGTAGAATGGCCATGTTTCCATGGTGACGTCCTGGAGAACCCTGTTCCATATTTACAGTCGAGGCGTCTCGGCAACACGACCTAAACTAACTCACAACAAGCTGTGCTTGTGTGTGTGTGTGTGTGTGTGTGTGTGTGTGTGTTTGTGTGTTTGTGTGTTTGGAGCTACGGCAGGTTGTCGTCCCGCAGGCTCTCCAGGATCTGGACCAGGCTCTCCAGTCCGAACACGTAGCCCCGGTCCGGCCCGTCGTGCACCGCTGTGTCGCCACGGAAACCCTTAAAGGTGGAGTGGGCAAAGTCGATCATACGAACGTCCACCAGGGGGGGCTGCTTGGGTGGGGGGGCTGGAGGAGGGGGGAAGGAAATTAAACTGGGAGAAGAGGGGGAGGAGGAGTCTGGATGGGGGTGAGGCGAGGGGGGAGGGGGGAGGAAGGAGCGGCAGTCTGACTTGGTGGGTGGGGCCTGTGGAGGGGGATGAGGAGAGGGGGAGGGCGGAGCCATTAGTCCAGGTCCCTGAGAGGACAGTGTCCCTGGGTCTGGGTTCTGGCTCATGTCCGTTTCAGAGGGAGTGTCGGGGGCCGGAGGAGCGTGGGGCCCGGGGCCACAGTGGGACTCTGCAGGGGCCGCGGGAGTCTTCTGGTGCCAGGCCGCGTGCTGCCCAGAGCTGAGGCCTGAGGGGCCCTCAGGTTCCTACAGACACAATCAAACACAGAGTTGGACTGAGGTCCTCGAGGAAATCATCAAACAGCAGATTGAGTCTTGATTTGATTTGTTTTTATTCTTGATTTGATTTGATTTCTCACCTTTCCCTCATAGATGATGAGCAGTGAAGAGGAGTAGAAGCGGTAGGACGCCTGCCTCTCCAGCACCGCCTTCAGGCTGCGAAGCTTATTCAGGATCGGCTCAAAGAGGTCCTGCCTCAGGCCCTTCCCATTGTGCATGTACTGGTAGAGGGCCTGGCGGAAGCCTTCGATCGACAGGCCGCGGCCGTAGTACTTGTTCCTGCAGAGGTAGTGACCGGTGTTCAGCTGGTACACCTGCACACACAGAGGGGAAACCGCTCAAACAAAGAAATGACAACAACAACTGTTCACATTCACGACTAGACATTTACCTTGCTCAATACAAGGCGATATCATTATGTAATACATTAGCTGCACATGCAAATCAGGCCATAGTCAGAAGAACCCAAAATTTGTCAGAATATTTATTATTTCGCCCACATCCTCAGGCCATTATCTCTTCCTCGGGTCTGTCATGTGACGAGTTCAGCAGAGGAGTCATCGTTCTACCTGCATGCCACACACTCTGACTCCCAGCGTCGCTGAAGTGCTCTGTTCACATTTCTTCATCTGCCTGGCCGCCTTCTCCTCGGAGGCGTCGTCTCCGTGCTGCCTGGTCCCCATCTTCAGGTCCAGGATGCAGGGGTAGGAGAAGTGGTGAACCACGTTCTCCAACAACAGGAACTCTGGTTAAGACGCTGCCGTTAAGGAGCACAACCAAACCATCCCTGATCTCTACCCAGTCTGGATGCACACAATAGCTTCAACTGTCCTATACTTAAATCATATTACATATTGAACAAAAAGTGAACTAAGTTTGTTAAACAATTTTATAAACAAAATATTGTTTTTGAAATCGGAGCTGACAGCAGTCCTGTTGAATCTGACTGAATACAGATGGACCTTGTTGAGGACAGAGTGTGTTGCTTATTCACTTTCCTCAGCTGTGTTTTCCTGGCAGCTGCAGTCTCCTCTTTGAAGCTGAAGATCAAAACACAACCTTTAACCTGATAACCTCAAACATCTCCAGCCCTCCCCTTTATTCCCGCCTTTGTCCCCACAGTCTCACTCATATGTACATTCAGTGCCTCTTATTGCACAGGTTACTATTCCACCACCAATCAGAGATGTGGGCAGTAGTTATAACAGTCTGTACATTTTTACATCATGTCTACAGATTCAGTCTTAATTATCACTATTTACCAAGTCAAGTTTATTCTTGACCTTGGAAACAGCAGTGTGACAAAACAAATCTTAATATAAGGCCCACTTCCTAGTTTCTTTAAAACCACGTCACGGTCTCCGTCAGTGGATGGAGTTAGTTTTGAAAGCTCTGGAAACAGGGGATGTGATTGGCTGAGGAAGGATACTGAAGAGTTTGCGGTCCTTGGACTCAGATCTCATGCGGCTGAGCTGCTGTTTGTGACAGCGGAGGCTCCACGGGTTGTGGCTGATCTTCTCTGATGTCAACCCGCTGTTCCAGTCCAACATCTGGAAGGGAACGTCCGAGTGGATCTTTGGGTCCAGCCTGGGACTCTTCAGCTCTCCGAGACTGCGGGAGGAGAAAAAGAGGAAGAGAGAGGACAACGTTGGTGATCCTCTGTTTAAATCTGCAGTGGATTTAAAGGTTTGCGTTATTCACATGAATTTGATCGCTGGATCATCTATGAAGTCTGAGTTTATTCGCCCAACACACCTAATATACCGACTGTACAGATGTAAGCTGTGGCTTCCTTGGAGCTGTCGCACAGACTGTATGTTGTTGTGTTCAGATCAAACTCTGATTATCTCAGATCTCACCAGAAACTCCAGCTCTACATTTATGATGTAGATCTATAAGGCCGCGGATTCAGCCTAAATTTTTCAACTTGCCCTGTTGTGTCTTCCCTTTAAATTTGAGCCACCCCTGTATTTATTTTTTAGCTCCACATTTCATGGCACTCCATCCAATAGTTATTGAGATTTACTTAAAATAGCAGCAAATATGAACCTCGTGGTGACATTAGAGAATAAGTCATAGGATCATCATGTGTCAGCAGACTTCATCATCTTCTGGGGATTATGAATGTCTGTGGAAAATTTCATGGTAAGAAGTTTTTGATAAATTACTACTAGGGGCTGGGAAAATTGTCTGGATCAAAGTGATGGTTCGCCTGACTGACATTTCCATTCCTCTTTTTACGAGCAATTAATCTGGGAAATAATTTTTATGACTCAATAAATATCCTTAAAATGTCAGAAAATGGTGAAAAACGCTCATTGAAATTTCCCAAAGTCCAAGATAACATCTTCCAATGTCTCATTTTGTCTGACCAACAATCCAAAACCCAGAGATCTTCAATTCACAGTGACATAAAACACAGAGAAGCAGTAAATCTGTTTTCTCCACTGTCTTATTTTCTAGAAATCTTCCTTTCATATGATCAGGGGGCAGTTTGACGACAGCTTAGATAAACAAATAGTCAGACTTCAGATAAATGTCTAAATTCATCAGTTGCACAAAGCAGTTTAGTTCTTTACGACCTTAAACCGAACTGTGGTACAATGAATTCTGTGTAAATTAAGACTTTTCTCAAAATAAAAAAAAAAAATCAGACTGAGGAACCACATCCAACTGCTCAGCTCCGTTTACCGCGGCAGAAGATGAAGAGTTTACCAAGAAACTGCTCATTGCTCTCTCCATGACGACGTTAGCTAACCACAAATTATGAGCCATGTTTTCCTGTTTTTTGTTATGGGTGCTACTGCTCAGCTCAGGTGTCACTGGTTGTTACCATGGTAACATTGGTCTTAGGCCTGAGTTAGCCTGGAGGTAATGCGTCAGTCATATTAATTAATTGATTGATTAATTAGTCGTAGTTTTGTGAAATGGTCTTACTTGATCTGTGAGCAAAATTAAGACTGGACCAACACTACAGACCAGCCGGACACATCTTTATCTTACTTGTCAGAGGTGTCTGTGTCGTGCGGCTCCCTCCTGTCGGGCCGCTCCTCCTTGTGGTCAGAGGAAGAGGAGGAGCGATGGAGGCTGCGGCGGGAGTGTTTCCTCCTCGGCTGCTCCCTCTCGGGGGGGTCACGCTCCTCGTGCTCTGCGATCCCGGCCTCCATGTGGCTCTCCACGTAGGGGTAGGCCACCAGGTTGATGTAGCCGTCAGAGTCCCCTTCGAAACAAACCAGCACCACACCTGACAGGACGGAGGAAACCACAGACAGGATGTTTAGAGATGTCTATTAAAATACCAGGAGAGACACAGAGAGAAACATGATCCATCTCAAATCAGGCCACAGTCAGAACAATCCAACATTTTGTCTTTTTCTTTTCTGGTTTTCACTGATTTCCCTGACGATCTGCATCTAACCTTACATACTTAGAAACATCTCATAATGTTTGACCCCTCTGAATCTTAGTAAAAGCAGTTTGGAGGAAGAAGTAACAACTAATAGCTGCATTTTAAAGGTCATCTCTTTCTGTTACTCAGCTCTTCAAAAACAAGACCTGAGACGAGTCAGCCCGATTCAAAATCACAGCATTCAGTCTCATCTGGTCTGCAGGGTCTTGTACTGCCACAGCTCCATGTGTCAATATGTTTAATACTGGAATGAGTGCAGGTGAACTCAATAGCAGCTAACAAGGAGGTGCGTCATCATCATCATCACCACATGTGAAAAGTGTGTTTTTGATTCAGACAGAGCGTGAAAGCCAAGTGCAGGAAAAATGTATTTTACATGTTTGACATGTATTGCAGCTGTTAATTGGTTAATTGCTGCTGCTGCCAGTGTTGTTGCCGTGTCTCTGAATGGGTCTGTTCATCATTTTGAATCAGTTCTAATCCAGGTCTGACTTCCAGAGCCCCCTTCAGATCAGGTCTGTCTTTAAAAAAAAAAATTGAATTCATGCAGGTTTGGTTCATTTGGGATCAGGTCAAAGGTTTTAGCTAACATTAGCCACCATCATGTACTGGTCACGCCAGAGCAAGAGAGGCTGTAGCAGCTTGTAGAGTGTGATGAATTGTGTGTTTTATTACTTGTGAATGTGACATTTAGTTTGTGTGAGAAAATATATTTCTTCTTTAAAGCTGCAGTAATTAATATTTCTGTTACCAATGGATCAAGTGACTTTGTGTAATGTGTCACTCATAGTACTGTTCACTTGCACTGCGACCAAACAAAACTATTTAGTCGCTTGTTTTATTAAATTACGCCAGATTAGATTAAATTACATTAGATCTGCTGAACATTGAAAATCCATCATCAAAACAACAAATGAAGGAATATCTTTTGGAAAATGGTTGAGTTCAGAGACTAGAAGCACTGAAGCTGTGTGTTGGCTTAGCTTTCATTTGTCATCCATCTATATATCAAAATTTAGTAAATGTTCTGGAAATTCAATTGAGGAACTGTTAACAGACAAAATAACCGGACATGGATGTCTGACCATGTTTTATTGAAACATTAGGTCGTTATTTTTATCTTAACAAACTGTAGTAGAACATTTCATCCCCAGCTGAACCTTCTCCCTGTTTCATTTTGCTGCCAGTTTGCTCACTGGTGGGAAATCAACTCCACATCAAGTCCAAATTGAAGAGTGAAATATTCCTCTGAGCAGCAGAGAGCGAGCGCTCTCTCCACAGAGACGTCGACTTCTTCACCAGCTCCTCACCACAACACACGGAGAACCTTATTCTGATTACGTCACACAGTTTGTGGATGAAACAACCTTGACGGATTCTGAAAGTTGTGTCCGGGCAGCTAGCTAGCTGGCTGTTTGTCTGTCTGTCTGCAGTTATTCAATCAGCAGGACAATGGTAGTAGGGCAGAGATCCAGGGTTAAATATAGACTCCTTATGGACCACTGTTGTCATGGCACTGGGACCCACAACACCAGCAGGGCGGACTAGTGGGAATACAGACATACTAATGACTGCAGATCAATGTACTGGGAATATATCCACCAGGTCTCATGTAAGGTAGCTCCACGTGGGGAGGGGGTTGGTGAAGCAGCTCACTGGTAAGTAGTTTGAGTAATAATGTGCCAAAAAGAAGCATAAATGTTCACATCAGATCTTGTTTTCTTCATCGACTGATTAGTTGTTTAGTCGATAAAATATCAATGTAAAAAATAATGTCTTTACATTACAGTCTAGATATTGAATTTATAATAGTAAAAAAGACTAAGACTCTACAGTTAAGGTAACAGCTCTGTGAGGCTGTACTGCTTTGAGCTAAATGCTAATGTCAGCATGCTAACAATAATAATGCCAACAGGTTAATGTTAGCAGGTTTAATGTTTATTTGGTGGGATATATAGTTTTAAGTAATCTCCTGCAAGATTTGCAGTAACTGCTTGTAAAGTCTCTGTTACATCTGCAACAATTTTTCAACCTGAAATTCTGCTCCTGAAATCTCTTCTATTTCCTGTTGTACCGTGTCCTAAATACCACTTTATAGTATCCTGTCAACAGGAAATGATGTGATATGTGCAGCGTTGTCTTTAGAACTGATTCACCTTCCCAAAGATCATTTTTTGAAGCATTTAAATATGTAACATTTACAATTTGAATGAAATCGAACTTTTTCAGCAACATATTTATTTACATTCTGTAATTATATCTATGCACAGTAGTTTTTATTGTTTGTGGTGGAGTCTGACATTCCTGCAGTGGAATCAAATTGCCTACCAACGCACGAGGGACCCACATGAAACAATGCAACGTGTAATCTAGTATTTCTGTTTGTAGTGTTATCTCATTTACATCAGCCTCACTGATTACTCCTCACTCTCCTAGAGCCTATCAGAGCTGTAGAAAGTTACTGCTAAAGCAAACTGAACATTTCCTACAGCTGCAGCCTCACAATAAAAGTGTCCAACTGGAGCTTTCATTCTGAATGTATCTGTAACTGATGTTAGTGATGATAGAGATTGTTCATCCAGCCTGCGTCTGTAAATGCGTCATTTCTGGCATTTCCTGTTATGATGTTATTCAAGAGAGTGAAAGAGAAAGAAGGAACACCCTTCACTGTGACCTGTTCTTGTGAAGAAAGCCTCTATTTCTGACAGTGTAGCTGGTCTGTCGTATTTAACCGCACGTGCCGTTACTTCCAGTAACAACGGGGATGGCCGAATCAACCAAGACTAACATCTATTCAAACCCTGAGAGCTGTTCTCACTCATTGTGAATGACTGGAGTTCTGCTCTGGCTGAAGTTGGACAGAGCTGTGCTGGAACATACACAATCTCATCAAAGCACTAATAAGAACCATGAAGGTAGAAGGTAACCCACCTTAACAGGTGCAACAAAACCAACAGGACAGTGAAGGACAGGTCAGTGTGAGCACTCCCACACAGTCCTTACAAAAGGCCTCATCAACACCTGTGTGGGTGCGCTGTGGCTGTGTCCGGGATTTCACACTTATTTCCAAGTCTTTCCAGAGATTTCTCACCGGACTCTGCAATTCATTTATTTATGTTTTGCAGCTGTGAGCAGCACTTCAATATCTATTGTGCAATACTTGATACAAGAAAAAAACAAAACGTTTTTTTTTGAGTAACTAAGTGATTTTGACCCCACTAAATTCATAAAACCTGTTCATCAACACTGCATGTGTTGAACGAGGACACGGCTCATGTCTGGCAGCATCTTCCTGCCAGACATTCCTCATGGCTCACATTTTACTGTCAGAGAAATAAAACTAATATATCATAATAATGACTGATTACATTCCATTTCTGAGTGTTTCAGTGTTTCAGTGTTTCAGTGTCGGGGCCTTGATGTTTTGTTTGCTGGCTGAGTGTCGTGACTTAGAGGCACGACAAACTGGAACAGAGCCATCGTTAATGTTATTAGTTCCACCTGCTCCACCCACCATCAGTCTCCCTTCATCTGCGTCGTTATCTCCTCTCTTACATCATCCGCCAGAATGGTAAATAGGCCACATACATGTAGGAGAGGTGTGTGTGTGTGTTTGGATGCTGGCTGTCAAAGTGTGTTTGGGTCTGTTACTACAGCAAAAGCAGGCAGAAACAGTTATAGTATGTGCCCAGTGATGAAGAGCAGAGCAGCTACACCACTTTACTTCCATTAAACATCCGTACTTCCTTCCCTCTCTTCTCTCTGTTTCCCTCTCCTCCACCACCAAACACAGAGCAGTATTCAGAGCATTAGTTTTTAGACCTGTGTTTGAATTACAGGGGAGCCGGAGGTGGAGGGGCAAAAAACTCGCACACACCGTCTCTCTCTGTTTATTTCATATTTAATACAACATTTCAGTCAAACTTTCTGTCTAGCGTTAAGAAAGACAGTGTGCATGAGTCACTTCTATTCTATTCTATTCAAAGCATTTCTAACCCAACCATAAATGATATGAGAAATAAAAATAAAATCAAATAAAGAGCCAATGTCCGGTTAGTGGGATTGTTTTAAATCTGTGTGCGCTCTTTGAACTGGTCTTTACTTTCTGTCCATAACGTAATTGAAGTAGACATGTTCCAGGGTTTGTGTGTGTGTGTGTGTGTGTGTGTGTGTGTGTGTGTGTGTGTGTGTGTGTGTGTGGGCTGCTTTCATATTTTATTTCTCGTGTGCCTCTGTGTGAGTATTGTGTGGATGTGGTGTCAGATAGGACATGGATTTATCCACACTGAGCTCATTTGTAATCTTGTGTTGTGGCTGTGGTGAATCTGCCACAATGAGACAGTTGTTGACACTGTCTTGTTGTGAGAATGTGAGTTCACCATGTAGAGTGGCAACAAGTTCAGGCTACGAGTAAGTCTAGTTTATCTATTGACACAGAGTCGCCTCAGAATCACTTACAACTTAAACCTGCAATAACAGATTTTTTTGTTGTGTGTGAAGATAACAGTGAAAGGGATGAACTTGTGAGCAAACAGTTGCCTATTTACACATCCAGCAGTTAGGGAGCAACATTATTATTCGTTCTGAGATGTGTTTATGTCCACCTCATAAATGTCTGATTTTCACTCTTTTAGCTCTTTTGGTCTCCACCAACCCCCGAGGGAAACTCCTGTCTATTTAGCTGCTAAATGTTCCACTATGTTCACAAGCTGGACTCTAGCTGTGTCTGTTAGCTGCTTGCTGCTGAGCAGGTAGCGGACAGTGGGTTTTTTTGGGTTTTTTTTTCTTTTAGAGCTTTTGCTCTGACAACAACTGCCTGCTGCAGCCAAAACTGATGCTATGAGAGCAGTGAAAGTGAACCAAAGCAGTACATTTACAGACTGGACAGTTAATCAATGAGCTGAAATTCACTATAAAGCTCTGTAGAGCAGAAGGAAGCTGCAGATACAGGTGTATGTTCATCACCACGAGCGACCTCTCACAGTGTTTTCACATCGTCACCGACACATTGTTCTTACAAGATATTGATAAGAGCCGCTTTAACAACACGTGCTGTGATTCAGAGTGCGTGAAAAATAGTTAAAAAGTGGGAACAAACGTACGAACGCAAACTTGACCAAACCAACTGAACAAAGAGAAAAATAAGAACAAGACTAAAGACGGACAATACCGACAAGCCCATCTGGTGATTGGGCTGAGAGAGTAAAGGAGACGAAAAGGTTTGGGAGGGGTTGATAAAGCAAGCATCCATGGCTCCAATGATACTAAACAACAGTGAGTAATGACTGACCTTTATACTCCGGAGTGAACTCCTTCATCTCTGGAGGCAGAGACTCGTAGAAGCGCTGCTCTCTGCTGATCAGAGGCTTACACACTGTGTGGTCATCGTAACGCATCATACTGGTGTGACCCCCCACCTGTGAACGAACACACACACACACAATTACACACAATATAGTTGTTGACAAATACATACACAAACACTTATATCTGCTTACTCTGTATTATATGTGTTAAAAACATATTAACTGTTTACATTCTGCCTATAAAAGCTAAATGAGGAGGATTAAAGTAAAGTGTTAAGTTTGGTTGTGTTTCAGTGGAGATGTGACATCATCACGGATCTCTCTCTTCATTACGGTGTTTCTATAACACACACTTCTCCCTCTCACCTGGTGTACGAAGGGCTCCAGTGGAACACCTCCTCCTCGTTGACGTAGTGAAGCCCCTCCCCCCTGCCCCGCCCCCTGTAGCTTGTTGTCCATGTTGTTGGTGTGAGGGAGGCACATGGCTCCTGGCGAACGCACTGCGCCTCCTCCTGCAGAGGAGAGGAGGGATTTAACACAGAGGTGACACAGAGAGCGGCTCTGACCTCTGTTTCATGGCTCTGCTCAGGCAGCAGCTCATACTGTGGCTGGATGTTGTTCAAAACGTTTTGGTGCTAGTGCCAATACCATGCTCCGGTTTCTGTAATGATATGATGAATCAGTTTCCTTTTGGGATAACAAACTATATCTATTAATCAAAACCAAAATCATACTATTTTCAAAATTCTAAATGTTTTTGAGAAATCTGAAAAAGTTTTCTATAAAACCCTTATTTTGATTTTATATAACAAGTGTTCAAATGATAATGATATTTAAAGTAGGGCTGCAACTAATTATTATTTATAAATCATAGATAGATTATAGATTTTTTAAATTTGATTTGTTTTTTCTATAAAAACTTTTATAAAATGTCAGAAAATATTGAAAAATGTCCAGTACATTTTCCCAGAGTCCAAGCTGATGTTAAATATATTGTCTGAAAAACCCAAAAATGATGTCAAACAAAGAAAAACAGCAGATCCGCGGCACACTGGAGAAGCTGGAACCACAGAATATTTGGCATTACTGCGTGCTAAATCATTTCCTGGATCTATTGATCATCGCAGCTCTAGTCTAAACACAGAAGCAGCCACATAAGACACACTCTAAAACTGGCAAATGTAGGATTCATATCAGGAACTATGTGATCAAAACATAAGAAAACAAGATAACAAATCTGATCAATATTTGATGTCAGCTGATGGTACTCAGCGGACCAGGTAAAGTCTCAGTGCCATGGATGTATTTCAGCCATTGTTAGGAGATGTTGAGGTGAAGACCAGCAGGAGGAGACATTTAAGGAACGGCCAGCGAATGGTTATGACTGAACCTGCTGTCTGCGGCGTGTGTTGTGAACAGGAAGCAGCAGGGGGCAACTCTGCAGCGACCCCCACCAGCTGACCTGACTGTCTGACCAGCCTGTGCCATATGCTACAGGTGGCTGCTATCAACCTTTTTCATCTCATAACATTGTTGTAGGTTAAAATACAGAGTCTGGTTAACAACTTGGCACAATTTGTACAGCAGGTTTAGCTAACTGTTATCATTAATGTTGTTTATTGGCACCGACCAGATGCTGAAACCTTGAACCTGTTGCCATGTTGCTCCAAAACACTGTTTATTGATCTGTTTGCTGAAAACTGGTAAAACCAGTAAAATTCGCTCTGGCATGTTTTCCTCAGTGTGGTTTCTGTGGTTGCCATGGTTTCAAAGTGAGCCCAAGTTCAATCAATCATTTTAAAAGCAAATATAATTCTTTGACCTCCAGCTGACAGACTCTACAGACTGAGATCTGTGGGACAACCACTGTGATACATCACATTGGTCCCGCTCTTACCCTGGGCATGGGCTCTGGTGTGCAGTGACGGGGAGGGGGGGGCACAGGGCACCACGGGCTGCTGGGAGCGCACGCCGGCCCCGGGGGGAGGCGGCGCCAGACCGAAAAACCACCTCGCAAAGCCTCCAATCAGAGTGCTCTAATCCACCGCCGGCAGCACCGAGAGCCAGTCAGGACAGGGGGTGGGGTGGGGGCAGAATTGGGGCGGTGGCCAGGACTAGCAGGGTGTCAGTTGGGCGGGGTCACCACTTCCTGCAGAGAGAGGAAACAACAAATTGTTTAATGTATATTTTGATAAGTGACTCATTTCACTTTACACATAGTCATTTGATCCATTCTGAATATGAAACTATTGATCAGTGTAGCTTTGCCTGAAAAAGCTTTTTGGACATTGTGGTTAGGGTCGGAGTGACGTAGCCTGAGGGTAACATCTGCAAGACAAATTTTGGGGGAGGAAACATCTGTAGTACATGATGTTATATCGTGTTATTCTTCAGCACTGAACAACAGTTTTATAGAAAGTGATTCTGAACCAGGCGGCTTCGTGTCTACTTATAGAAAATCACACACACACACATTTCTGGGCTCGTCGCCACAAACAGTTGACATCAAATGTTTCAGCACGTTGGCACCCAACAGGCTGTCTCACTCACACACACACACACACACACACACACACACACACACACACACACACACACACACACACACACACACACACACACACACACACACACACACACACAGAGAGAGCATACTTAAATACAGACAAACATATTTTGACTGTAGCTCAGTGAGGAGGGCGAGGCAGCAGCAAGATGTCCACCTGGACCCTGTTCATATCTGACACGACGGGTTCTGTTCGATCGTGGAATTATTTTCTCTCCAGCCAAACTCGGCTGTTTTCAAATTTAAAACGTCATCGGGAGTGTGAGAGGACACATTGTGATTCAGGATTTATTTTCCAATAAGCACCCAGAGACACATTTTAACAAATACAGAATTAAATCAAAGCTCATCTGTTGCTGAGTAACATCTAAAATAAAATCACAATTAGAAGTGATTAGCATTTGAAAAAAATGACACTGGAGACGATAACAATAAAGAACAACACCAGATTTTTCTTTCAATTACCACATCAAACAGCTGAAGGCACAAATGTGATGGAGCTCATTTCTAAAACCATGTGAATTTATTTTGGGGAACATGTAAATTTTTTATTTGAGGTTCCACGCACGCAAGAGATGATCGTTGAGTCTTTAAAACCTTCCCAATTAATCAGCCCAAGGTTCCTGGAAATAATTACATGATCTGGTTTAATGTCGTGCCCATTTTATAATTGTGTTTTTTTTGTGTTATATCAATGCTGCCATAAGAAAGTAGCATGAGAAACATTTTTATGATGTAAATTGAAGATGATCTGCATGAAAATGTTGTTTTCACAGCTCCTAAAAGCCTCTCTACTTCTCCTGTTTTTAATGAACAGCGATGTAACAAAGAGACAACAATAAATTCTGTTTATTTATTCAGTTCAGGGCCAAAAGTAAGTGGACATCCTTGTCATCCTATTTCAGTGTAATTTTGGCCTCCCCAGTCAGTCCTGCTGTAGCAAACAATGATACTTAAATAAACACTAGACAATAGTGTTCTTTCAAGTTTGTGTCAACAGTTTGGCGAAGGCCTTTTCCTGTTTTAATACCTCTGTGGCCAAAATCAGGTCAATAAAGAAACCGTTTGCTCCGTTTGTCCTGGAAGAAATTCAATGACCTGCACAGAGCCTTGACCTCAACCTCATCCTACACCTTTGGGATGAACTGGAACAGCGACTGTGAGCCAGGACTTATCACCCAACATCAGTGTTGGATCTCACCGATGCTCTTGTGGCTGAATGGGAACAAATCCCATGGACTTTATATAAAGAGGCAAATCCCTGAAGCCAGCTTCCAAAATCTGGTGGAACATCTAAAACCAGAGGAGCTGAGGCTGTTACAGCAGCAGATTCCTTGTATGGTGTAACATTCACATGTCCATATACTTTTGGCTATATTTCCCCCCTGTACCACCTCCCAACCAATCCTCCTATCCCATCATGCACCTCAAAGCTGCTCCAAAATGACTCATCACCGCCTGCCTGATGACAAGACAACATGAGAGAGGAGAGGGAGACTGGAAGAAATGAGGGAACAAACAAGAAGATGATTGGAGGAGAGAAGCAGGCCCACTAATGATGTCACAGCGTACTCTTGTGTGAACGTGTGTTTCTGAGGGCATCATCTGGTCAATGTCAAGACTGTAGTGAGGCACCATGCTTCCTAATGATATCATGATGTGAGCTGAGAATTAAGACCAAACAGCCTCCGACCACAGCAGCTCAGACACACTGAAACATTCAAAAATAAAACTTCTCCATCTTACACAAGACAGCAAGCTCCCTCATCTTTCACAGCTACACTTATGTGCAAACAATTATGTGTGGTCCTTAAAATTACAATTGTTAAAAGTTCAGTCAGTCAAAATTTCAGTGCTTTGTTAGAAGAAGAAAAACTGGTATATCTGTCAGACTGAAGAAAACAGACAGCAGTGTTGGACAGGAAACATTTAACTCATAAATGATCCAATGTTGTGCTCTCAATTACATGAAATGAGCACATTCACCAGTTTCTGTCTTCAGCATCACATCCAGTGGGCGCACGCTTCATTTCCTGCGTGTGAATCACAGCTGAGATGAATATTCAATTAATCGTTTCAGTCAACCGTTACAAATTCAATCAGCAACTATTTTAATAACAGTGGTTTCAGTCTTTCTTCATGTGAGAAGCTGGAGCCAGCTGAGAACTCAGCGCTTTGATTTGTCATTTATAGTAAATGAAACGTCTCTGGGGTTAGCACTGCTGGTCGCACAAAACAAGCCATTTGAAGACACTTTGGACTCTGGGAAACTGGGAGGGGCATTTTGAACATTTTACAGATGAAACAATTAATTGAGAAATGAAGATAGAATAAAGAAGAAAGAATAATAGATGCAAGGGAAACATGGACTCTGCCATGCATTTATTCATTCATTATCCATACCGCTTATCCTTTTAGGGTCGCAGGGAGGCTGGAGCCAAAAGGTTGTCAGTCTGTCACAGTGCTGACATATAGAGACAAACGGGCGATTTAGAGTCACCAGTTAACCTAAACCTGCATGTCTTTGGATTATGGGAAGAAACCCATGCGGGCACGAGGAGAACATGCAAACTGCACGGCAGGTTCGAAACCCAGAATGCTCTTGCTGTGAGGCGACAGTGCTAACCACGGTGTAACCGCGCCGCTCCTGGACTCTGCAAGTAACAACAAAAACCACTATATAGAGAGGTAATTACACCATGTAAATACAGCATATTGAATGCTACAGTCCAAAAGACAGCGGATGAATCATGTGCAGTTTTGTCACAGAACACAAACAAGACCTTGTTTTTACCAGCAGGAACTTGTTTTTCTTGTTTTTACCACCATGATCAAAATGTTGGACATGAACAGTGTCAAAAACATTGTCCCCTACTGCTCAGCGTCAAGTATCAGATTAAAATATTTAGGAACTGCACCAGTGTACCACTGCCAGGCTTTTAGTCTGACTTTATCACTGACGTCAGCAGCTGACTGCTTGTTCGTAAGAATTTCAGTTCCCTTTTTCATTTGGACAGTTTTTGGCATTTGCTGTCTGCCTGACAAGTAAACATTTCAAGGGAGAGATGAAAGGACAGAAAACCTACAAGTGAGCTGCTTACGTGAGGAGCTTCACGCATCAGACGCACGCTGAAAACCTCAGACCTCCAACATGACATCAAGACATACCTCTAACTACACTGTTCCTCACACAGGCTCCAATCACGACTGCTCACAGCACGGTGCATATATCTGACCACGATGGAAATCCAACATCCAGCAGTCTGGTCTCAAGTCACGATCCGAGCGTGACCAACCATGAACCCCAGAGAGCGCGCACACACACGCACACACACACACACATACACACCCACACACAGCAAGAACAGTGTTTCCCATGAGCAATGAATTCTAAAGTTAGCAGTAAACAGTAAACATCAGGCCACATCTGCTCTTTTCTAGTGAAATGACCCTGATGATCCATGACCTCTAACATTCCACTGCACCCAACACACACACATCCAGACAGACATACACACCACACACCCAAACACACACCCAAACACACACACACACACACACACACACACACACACACACACACACACACACACACACACACACACACACACACACACACACACACACAATGTGTGTCTGTGGTCCAGCTGGATATTCACACATTCAGGATGGGCCAACAGATTATAATGCTTGTTGTGCTGTATCAAATACTGTTGTCAAACAGTAAATCATTCTCATCAGAAATGTCTGTATGAGAAAAAAAACAAAAAACAATTTATGCAGAAATCACTATTTGAGATAATATCGAGGAAGAATGACCTTTGAAAACGCTTATTGATTTATTAGTTATGCTACATGTTGAATAATGACATATTTAGAGAAAAAGTCTAGAGTACAACAGTAAATCCTACATCTCCTACAAGGCAAAACTATGACTGTGACTGTTTACTCCTGTTGCACTGACTCAGTGATCTGTATGCGTTTCGAACACCTACGTTTTATTGTGAACACAGACAGAGCAGTTGTAAAATATTGGAAAGGGAGACCTGTAAGAGACACATTTAATCATCTACCTATATATTGTCATATCACCCAGAGTGTTAACTGATTAGCAAAGAAAAATACAGACTGACTGACCAATGATGAATAAATAATAGCTGGTTCAGACACATGTGGTCAGAGGTGAGTATTGGGGTATTCAGTGAACAGCAGGCGTTTGGTAACCCCTCTGTACGGAGGTCTGGTCTCCGTTAGTGGATCTATATGCGTCTCCACTGTCTCCTGGCACACAGACAACAGGTGTGTGTTTCCAACAGGCAGCGTCCTGTATGCAGTGCGATACAGAGGGCTGGGAATAGGCTGGTGGAGGGCAAAGTCAAGGACAACTTGCCCCCCCCCCTTTTCCTTCATCCCTCTCCCAAAATCCCCTCACCTCCCTCTTCCCCTTCTTTTTTATCTCCTCCCCCCTCTCAACCCTCCCTTCTCCCAGGACTGGGCAATACTGAAAATATCATTCTGCAGTATTTCTGACCAAATACGTCAGTATTGATGATATATTGATACACTGTTATGTTCATTTATGA